TCTACAGTCATTTTTCTTTAGGATGGTCCGTCATGTTCGTCTGGATATCCAGGATGTCGTCAAACCGCTCTCCCTTCATTTGCATGTTTAATTTTGCGAATAAAAAAAGTCTGTCGGAGTCAAATCTAGTGAGTGCGGGGGGTGATGTACTTGTTTACGGGCCAAAAACTGGGCCACGATTGCTGCAGAATGCGCCGGTGCGTTTTCGTGCAACAGAAAAATATCCGGTTCAGCGTAACGGTGTGGACGAATGCGTTTGATTCATATCAAAAGATCGACGCGATTCTCTCTAGGTAGTACTTGGCAGTGACTGTAGATAGTGTTGCCGGGATGAATAATGAGGTACGTTGATAACGTGAAATACATCTTAATAAATAGTCTAATGTTAACATTGAAAGATCTCGCAGATGTCCGAGAGATATTATTTATACGTTCAGGAGAAAATCAGTCTCGGAATTTTTCAAACGGAATAGGCCATCGTGTAGATGATGTCTGGCATTAGCGTGCACTAGGAACAGACAATGTCATTGCTACCGCAGCTAAATTTATTAGCTGTTCGAATTAAGACGCTACAGCGAACGATATAGTTGTACCTTGCAACAAATGCATTTTATTTCTAATAGTTAATGCCGTTGCTACTGCAGCTACATTTATTAGTTGCGTTAGCAACAACGTTAGCTGTCCTCATTTTAGCTGCCACAACTAGATTTTAGCTCCTACAATTCTTTCTCTGCGTGTGTTTTGAGCATGCGATCCAATTTTTATTTAACTATAAAATGTTGTCGAAGAAAGACGAGATTTCGATAGAAATATTGACTAGACCTTTAGAAATACAGACCCTGTGGCACGTTATAGGAATTCGCGTTGTAAGAACTCGCGTTATACGGAAGTCTACTGTATAGCCGTTAAGGGAATATAATAAATATTTTAACTTCGTCTTGAGCTGAATTTCGTGTTTGTCATCGGATTGATATAAGACGAAATTCAGTGAACTTATTGTATTCCCTTTTAACGGATATATTCTTAAAGGTATAGTCAATATTTCTATGAAACCGAAATCTTATATCGTGTCCTTCTTCGACAACATTTTACACTCTACTAAGGATTGGGTTACACGCTCAGCACAGCAACGCTAATGCCGGCCGTCGTCTAAAACACAGATTGATCGCTGATGGCATTTGCTTTCGCGTTTGTATCTTATTGAGAACGGACAGGAATTTTTCGGATAGAGAAATCGAAGACATGTTATTACGTCTGAAGGTCGTAGGACAAGGAAAGTGAACATTCTCTAATCTTATTTTTATCAAACATGGAATGCACAAGTCGAACCGTCAGGGACGCATCCGCTTCACAAGCAAAAGAAATGCGACGTGTGTCGCACAACGTGTCTTTTATCGACCAAGGTCACTGCGTCATCGCGGCCGTTCGTGGTGCGTACACCATACGTACGCGCCAACGTAACACTTCCGTACGAACGCATCGCGAGCAACGCAATGCAACGCGAGGCAACGCGGAACGAGGCGAGAATCCGCGCGAGTAGTCCCTCTCTTCGGCTAGTCGAGAGCTCGAGAAAGGAGGCTCGCCGATCCGGTGGTCAGCTATTTCCGTTCCCCGGCTATTTCCCCGTGTGCTTTTACGTATGGTAGTCGATGCTATCGCGCGAAAACAATTTATCACTCGAATTCTATTTGGGGCTCTATTTGAATGTCGCGGCTCGCGTTCTATCGAAGTCGCATTTCGATTATCCTCGCGATGTGGGTAAGCCTCTTGCACCTCCGAATTAATATAATTGATCGATCTTCTTGAAATTTGAGATTGTCTCACGAGTATTTTTGAAGACATTTTCTTTTACTATATAATATGCCAAAGGGATATTTTCCCGTGTTTTGATAAATAAATAAATAAATAAGTAATTCTTTCGAAAGAATTTTCGTGTCGGGCTCAGTCACGAGAGCAGTTACGAATAATTTTGACAAATCCCTTTCGGTCGTCAACGTTCTCGTGTTTATACGAGGCTTCGGCTTATTTATGTTTCGATTTGAAAGCAATTAAGATACATTTAACATAAGAAATCTTGGATTGTGTAAATCGTTTTTTAATTTTTAATATTGAATTTCCTCCAAGAAATGGTACTTGTCAAGAATTACAAATTGGAGAATTGAATAAGTAGTACTAGTACGAGAGAATCGCTTGTGATTCACTTGTCCTTAAAACTCGCCGATTTCGGGATGTCTTGTGTGGCGAGAGATTCGAATATCGAGATCGACAAATTTAACTTAGTTTCCACGGTGATCTTTGCTCTCCACTTATAAGTCAGATAATTAAAGCCGCGAGACTCTTAAAATAAAAACGGTATCGCGGTTTTCGTGACGCTTATCGAAGTGGCGAAATTTCTCACCGCGCTCAGACGTTTACGTTATCGGTGCTTCTCCTCATTTTTTTTTAGGAAATCACTTCTCGTAGACGAAGACGGCGAATCTGTCGCTAATTATTTTTTCTTGTCGCCGTTGAGTTTCCCAACAATATGATAAAACAATCGAATCCCTGCCACGACGGTTGATCGTGCGCCGCGAGAGCAAGCGGTGCATGGCGCAATGAGCAAATAACTCGTTATCTGATAATGAAATCCCTCCACGCTGCGTTTCATTAATTGTAAAAATGAGGGCTCGCATCCGATGACTTGCGCGTATTATTGTGCAAACAGATCTTCTCAAATTGCCACGAGGAAACACGTTTCACACCAGTCGCGCGAATTTGAAACCTCCCTCGATATTTTTGAAGCGAGTTTTCGACTCTTTTTTTTTTTTTTTTCATCAACGCCTCCGTTCTTTTCTTTTCGCGTTCGGTATGGGCAAGGGATCTTTTACGAACCCGCACGACGAAGGATTTTAACAGGTATACCTTCGTGATCACTTCTCGCTTTATTTTCGTTTGTGTGACGTCTCAAGAGCCGAACTACCTGAACTACATTCCTTGGGGAATTCGGGTGGGAGCGATCCTGTTCGGCCTCGTTGCTAGAATGTCCTTTTTTCCAGATATAAGTTTTTCCGTGTCCCTGCCGACGACGAATTATCTAATCGTGCCAGAAAAATGAAAATGCCAGTACGAAGGAACACTCGGACGGCAGAGCAGGGTCTAATACCAAGGAAAACCCTCGGCGTATCCGCTTTCACGCGATACGAGCAAGTGGAAATCTCCCGACTGCATGATATTTTCTCCCTGTTGACTGTTCTCTGGCGAGACGATATATCGACGAATGACGATAACGGAAAGTCCGTCGTGAGATTCCGGCCGCGCGCGCTCCCGCGCGCATCTCTCAAAGATTGAAGTCGACAGTTTCACCTTGCAGCGAAACGGAACGATTTATTGACGCGCTAATGTTCTTATTCATCAAATTGGAAATTGATCTATGTCGTTAAAAAAAACGTAGAAACGCACTTGTAATTATTTCGCGGTGCTATCTGGCTCTAATACATTCAATGTTAATAATGAATTTATTTTCTTTCTATGTAGAATATTTCACATATTTAAAGTAAAAATACCAATACCTAGACACGTACCGCTCTCTTCTACAATTATATCTCGATAATTATTGCGAATATCGTAAAACGTTGTGGGATTTTTTTTGTTCACTACAATCCATTCTACGTCCTTATGTACATTCGCATTTAAAGACCAAACAACAAGAGTATCCACGCTTAAATACGTATCCAAGTATTAGTATTTCTACCTTATATAGAAAATTAGAAATACACAATGCGGCAGCGTACTCGTACGGTGGATTTCGTATGCATCACCACAAAATTAAATTTGTGAATTATGATAACAGCGCTATAACGAACACGTTATGAAAGAAACATCCGAGCGATACCGAGTCAGCTTTTAACTCGGCAAAGAAAAGCTCCGATCATAGATTTCAGTTCGATCGAACGAACGTCCGAAAATGAAGAAGACACACACGCACGTTTGTTGATTTTGCGCGTGAAAACTCACTAGATGTCTTTAATCGCACTCTCGGAAAACTTTGCGCCTTCACAGTGCAGAACCACGTGCTCCCCCCTCCGACGATAGCACATCCGTCGAACCATCACAAGCACTCACGATGCCGACGAGTCGAAATTATTTGCTACGTCTACGAGGGCAGTCCGATAAGTACTTAGCCTACAAAAGAAAAACGAAAATTTTGGAAAAGTGGCGATTTATTTCTCAACATAGTCTCCTTTTAGCTCGATACACTTGACCCAGCGATGCTCCAACTTCTTTAACCCATCTGAAAAATACGTTTTCTCGAAGTCTGCAAAGTAGGCCTCCGTGACGGCGATGACCTCCTCATTCGGCCAAATTGGTCGAATTGGACTACGAACTGCTGTCCCATCCACCGTATTCTTCAGATTTGGCCCCGTGCGACTTTTTTTTGTTTCCAAATTTGAAAAAGTCACTCGCCGGGCAGAAATTTGAGTCGAATGAGGAGGTCATCGCCGCCACGGAGGCCTTTGCAGACTTCGAGAAAACATATTTTTCAGATGGGTTAAAGAAGTTGGAGCATCGCTGGGTCAAGTGTATCGAGCTAAAAGGAGACTATGTTGAGAAATAAATCGCCACTTTTCCAAAATTTTCGTTTTTCTTTTGTAGGCTAAGTACTTATCGGACCGCCCTCGTATTTAATACCGTCATAACTGATCCTCCTGATCCGTTTGATTGAAATGTTTTCGAGGTTAAACTAACGTGTTTCATTGAATAATTTATTCTTCCCGAGAAGCACGCGCGGCTAGCTGGTTCACTGATTTGCATCTTTTTTTATTCCGTCGCACGTAATAGGAAAAATACACACGCGCGCGCGATGAACCGTATAATTATCGAAGTATCAAGCGTCGCGAGAGCGATGCGTGCGAAGCGCGAGCGATGGTCCACGGTCGCGCGCGCGGCTCGTATCGCACGATAAAGGTTGAAGTTATGATATCGCAGTGGGTATGACGTATGGGCACTTGAATTTGTTCCAGACAGAAGCTGACATCGCCCAAGTGGAATCGCTTCAAAGGAATCAGGCTGCGATGGAAGGACAAGATCAGACTGAATAACGTCATCTGGAGATGCTGGCACATGCAGTGTAAGAAACATTTTTACATTCTCAGCGCGCACACGCACGCACGCATGCATGCGCACACACACACACACATACACACACACGCTCTCTCTCTCTCTCTCTCTCTCTACTATCTCTACTTCTCCTCCCTTGTTTTCCACGCCGATATGTCAAACCTAGGAACGAACCAACGGGATGTCTTCTAATCCTCGCATAAATGTTCATCTGTCGAACAGGTACGTCCTTGTCTTATCGAGAATGTTCCTGAGAGGTGCAACCATTATCGATAAATATCGAAAGTTATCTACCGTGGTATATCGGCACGTCCGGAGAGAAAGAGAATTCCCTCGGATCCTAATCTGCTTTTATTGATGTCCTCAATCGGGATAGCCGATGCTCAATCAAAGCACTGTAACCAGTCCGTAGAAGTGTTTCTATATTTAACTATTATACATTCCAGTTAGCGGGACTCCCGTTACAAGAATGTGATAATCCAAACGTTTTAAATACGTCACGTATTTGAAACGGTACACACGAATTATGACGGGGAACTAGTTTCGTCGGCCGCTTCATGTCCAAAATGAACCTTGTCAGGCATGGGAGCGACTTATTTTCTCGCTTTTCTTCCCTTCTTTCAAAACATCTCACTTTTAAGAAAAACTCGCTTTTTTCTTCACTCGACTTGAGCTCTTTCAAAAAAGAACACACGAAATTCATGCGTTGTTTCTTAAGGAAGTTCTAAAGGAATTGAGGTAAGTTTTATGAGAATTCGATAAAATTTGCAATTTGGTTTTTAAATTACACGCATGGTGTATCGCATTGTCTCGATTCTCTTGTTTTCGCTTTCATTTTTTCAATACGGAATTAAAACACTTTTGGAGAGGGGCTCTCCTCGATTATAGATTTGTCGAGTCCTCGAAATTCTCTACGATTAAACAAAATCACCCTCAACCTACTCTATCACGGTTCATTGACATTTCGATTACCGTGATATACACGGAGTGCCGCCTGTCGAGTTCAGACAGCTGCTAGCTGTCTTGCCGTCGAATGACCGGATAAGTAATTACCCGTCTATTTAAAGAGCTCCATCTCCGCGCTACATTCACACCAATGGTACTCCACGTTCACCTGGCGCATATCCAACTTATCATTACGAGCTGGGAAGTCGGTCTAAAGCTATACGCACATTCGTGGAATTCGATCGGTGAATTCGTTCCGCGAGCGCGGAAAAACAGGTGGAACGTGAAGTGTCGAGATAAGAAAAATAGAATGATGGCGTCGAGCGGAAATAACGTGGCGCGGTTGTTTCTCCTTTTTCTTCCTCGCACTTGTGCAATTAAACTAGAGAAAAATAGAATGGGCCGCGAAAGGAAAAGAATCGATTTCTAGCGTCGACGTCGATTAGATTTTTGAGATTTCAACGATCTATTGTGCAATTATTTGCAATTATCATTATTCTATAGTTAGAGCGATTATTCTGTTAGTGAAACATTCAGACAATAGAGATATTCGGATAATAAAGGTTCTCTCCCATTCTAGTAAAATGCTTGCCGACATCAACACTATCTCAGATTATAGGCTAACCACGTATGTGTAACTGACCTATACTAAGTTACTTAGATTTGAGCTCCGTGGCCGAACTCCTCGCCGTATGATTCCTTGAACCGGTACGTCTGTACTCGTTAAGTGAGCCAACAATAGTAAACGCTGCATCCATTATGACGGCACCGCCGTCTGCAATTACGTCTCGTGCCGTTTTTTTTTTTTCTTAGAGCTCCGTTTGCCATTGCATGTTAATAATAACACAAGTCGATAAAACAATTCTTGTCAAATAATAACTCTAATCCGAATAGATGTTTCTTATAGATTTTCAGTCATAAAAAACAACGCCGCTGGCCAAATTGCTCCATCATGTCAGATTTTAAAGTTATATGGGATTTTAAGACAAGAAATCAGCGATTTATAGAAAAAAGATATATAATATATAATATCATTAATTGTCAATAAAATAATAAAAATAGGTGAATTTTTATTTACACATTTATTTCTTGTTAGCAAAGGATAAAAATCGCAAATAGCAAAAATTTATGTTAAGAATATAATACGTTAAAAAACAGGCACTTTTTTATGTTTGACAAGATTATTGAGAACGAATATGAATTTCAATGTTATGGATTCGATTTTCTTCATAATAAAATCTCCTTAAAATTTTATTTAAAAAATATGAGAAATGGCTGATAAAACAAATTTTTTTAGAATAAAAATTCTACTAAATTCCACTATAAGTTTTTTTTTTAATTTTTGAAATGTCACATTCAAATTTTGATATTATAATAAAAAGAATGTATTTAGCCGATAAATATCTTGATAAATAGCCGACAAAACCGATGATTTCTTATCTTAAAATTCAAAATAACTTTAAAACCTGCCGCGATGGAGCGATTTGGTCAGCGGCATTGCTGTTTCTATGACTCAAAATCTATAAGATTCACCCGCTCTGATTCGAGTTATTTGTTACAAACCTTTTTTTTTTGCCCGTGTAATCATAGCGTAATCGTAGCGTTAAGCGCAACAATCAAGGTAATTAACTTGCCGGTCTCGGCATTTATCATTCGACGATTACCATTCTGCGGAAACGCGAATCACGAAATTACACTCGAAGAAGCATCCGAGATTACATGAGGGGAAGGAGGGGAGGAGATCGCTTCAACACACCGCCGCTTGAAATCCTTTTATTTCCGCGCTGCAATTGATCAATTTCGTGGATTGAAGCGTATCTCAGAAATTGCATCTAATGGGACGTTTTCGTTTTCCTTTTTTCTTTTCCAGTTATACTGAAGCAAAGTACACTGGTGTGCCAATTCGCGTCGCCGCTCGACGTTGACACTCACAACAAACCCGAGGTACGCCTCTCGCATTTCTAATTCGATGAAATACGCATTCGATCCGGTGGTAGCTAGCGAAAGACGTCACACGTTATTATTAACGATCATGCGAAATAACAACCTTATTATATTATCCGGCTCTGCCCTCTTGCGTAATTGGAAAGTGTCTTTATCATACATCGGCGACTGCCCGTTTGATTAGATAATTCGTCGCAGTTGTAATTCCTCGGAAACGTCTCGCTAGTAAACGACACATACTCTCGCGCGCGCCTGCGGCAATTCGGTTAGGGGGAAAATCCGCATAAGCTAATAAAGTCGGCGAGACGTTTTTCTACGCTCAGTAATAAGCCGGTGTAATTGCGCTTGAGCGTGAATCAACGGCGTATCTCTTATCAGGCGGTGGTGTTAGAGGGGAAATACTGGAAGCGAAAGCTCGCAGCCGTCACAGCGGAATACAAGAAATGGCGTATGTTCTATCGGAACAAGATCCTTGGCTGGACGAGCAAGGATGGCAGCGAGATGGTACGTAGTTTAATATATATAATAACTTATATATGTGGCGTAGCAAGCTAATTAATGTTTGCATAATGAAGAACATAACAAAAGATAAATAATTATTAAAATTAAAGGTGTCACTCTAAATCTCTTTTACCTTTACATATTGTCGAAGTCATGAGTAAACTTGAAAAATGTAAAATTAAAAAAAATGAATAAACTTGATTCTCGCATTGCCAATGTTTCTTTTTTTTTCTTTCTTTCATTTTCTTATGCGATTGAAAATCTTGAAGCCTTAACCATCTTCACTTTTAAATCTGCCGCTGGACTGCACGGATGACACATTCCGTAAAATATCATTGTTGCTTATTTAATGCTGAAGATGCCCAAAAAATGACACAAAAGGTCCACTCTTTATTTAATTTCGATTTAATTATCTTGTGTAATTACGCTCTCTCTTGTCATTTGAGACGAAACTAAAAATTTAAATTTTTAGTATTTTATTATTTGTATTTTATTATTTGTGTTTGCATTTAATATCGCTGTAATATCGGCGTTCGACTCTCATTTGCCTTTTGTGTGTTTATCTTTATTTTTTTTTTGTCGTATTGTATATCATTAGAGTCTCTACTTCTGCTTGTTTTCAGTTTTAAGCTTAGAAAGGTTTTAGGCGGCAGTCATTGGTGATCAAAAAGTTATTAGCCAGAAAAGGTTAAACGTAATTTATAAATATTATATTTAATAAATATATTACTTATATATAAAGTCTCTGTTATTATTATAACATATTAATGATTTATTAAAAAACGAGAAAATGATATGTTTTCTCTTTATTTTTTCAGATGGAATCACTAGACATGCTAGACTGGGACAATGGAAGCGGGACCATCGGGGATTACGGGATGGAGACAAGCAGTATATCCGGAAACATCAGCGGTGCTCTGAGCGGAGAGAGTATGATGGTTGACGAGGACTACATGCAACAGATGGCCGACACCCTCTTCTCGACCATTGCTTCCGGTCAGCCGATGTACTTTCCTGATACTAGAGAAATCGGTAATTTCTCATTGGGGATGTTCGACACGCGACTTAAGATTTTCGCATTTCGAATGTAAGAGATCTTAACGTCGAAAGACTGTTTTCTTCCGTCATGAACGTGTATCTCGGGTGAGTGGCGAATATATAACGTCCGTTATTCTCTCGATTATCGGTGAAACTCATCACATCAACATCGACGTTAAGATCGAATTACATTGATCGCGCGGCGCTCAGTTGCGCAAGTACTGCACGTAACGCGAATTCACACGCATCAAATGTGACTTGACAGTCCGAAACGCCAGTTTAGCGGACTTCATTCAACCTAATCTGGATGCTCTACAGCCGAACCTCGATGAATTCATGGACACGTTGGAGCCGCTGCAAGGTATTACAATGCGATCGTGCATGTGTCGCTTGCGTACAAAAAAAAAACTGTCGCTCGGGATTCACTCATGCATGGCATAACATGTTGTTTCTCTTGATTTCAGAATTTCTGAATTCGAAGCTGCCTCCAGTGCCCGAGGAAGACGACATGTTTCGGAATAGCAGTCTAAATGCTAATTACTCCGACCTAGACCTGATGACCCCGATTACTCAGATGAACGAAATAAACGAGAATCCGGCGATAAAGAACGAACAAAGTTCGCGGCAGCAGCAACAGACGCTGGCTCAAGAAGCACAGAACGCCAACATGCAGAATCTCCATTACACCGCCAAAATATATACTCAGCCCCAGCCTGAATCATCGGCTATTTACAGGAATAGCATGTGAGTGCACGCTGGATTCCTATCCTCTCTTTAAAATTTCTCTTCACCTTCATTATCATACACACTTGTAGCCACAGTGGGATAGTATAGTCATCCTGTATAATCATCTTTGCAAATCGAATTCATACCTGACGATAAAAACACGATAAATTCGACCGCTGGTCACTAATAACGCTAATCACGGATTCTCTTCATGTTATTCCCTTTAGAACGATGACCGAGAATTACAACTCGATTCAGCCAAGCTTCGAGACGCGCCTCACAAGTCAACCGACGCGAGAAAGGAGTCGGAGTGGCAACAGCGGCGGCAGCAGGACGACGTCGTCGAGGAGTAACCGCGTGATACAGCAAGCCCAACAGCAGCAGAATACATACCAATCGGGCGCGCAGCAAACGCAGAATTCCGTGTTCCAGCCTGCGTCGCAGACGCAGTCGTCTTACGCGATGGAAATACAGTTAACGCCCGTGCAGAATCAGCAGTCGGTGCAGATCGCGGCGTTGAACGATCAGTCGGTTAATCAGATATCGTCGATCGTCGCGGCCGCGACCGCCAGCGGCCACGTGCCGAATCTGGTGACGGTGCAGCATAGCTTCGCGCCGGTCGCCAACTCGTCGCCGCTGCAAACGCAGCAACGAGCAATTAGGCCCTTACCGCCCACGCCGCCGATGTCCACGAAACCGTACAAGATCGTGCAGCCGCAGCAGTGTTACAAGTTCCCGAGCCTCACGCAGAATTTCAACGCTCAACAATGCAAATTCAACGCTAACAATTTCAAGGTAGAACACAATCGTCGAGAACGTAACAGTGGCCGTGGCTTTAGGACCGCGCATAAAAGAACGAATGCTAATTGCGTGTACCTTCAGACTCATCCTACGCAACAAGTGATATCGGTGTCGGCGGAGCAACCGTCGCAGTCGCAGATCTTGCTGCAGTGCAGGCCCCCTGTACTGGACATCACCGCGCCTGCTCTGCACCCTACCAAACTACTACCTCAACCTAACACGTCCAGCGCGGAGGCGGAAGAGATCTTCGCCGTACCTAAGGTCAGTGCGGCTTCTGAGGCGATTTAAGTTGAGGAATAATCCAGGAATTTTATCCAGAGGCTTTATATTGTTTTTGTATGAACTGTACACATACATATATACACACACAGTCGGCAGATTAAGGGTTTAAGGGGCCATTCAACAATTACGTCATACCACGAGGAGAGAGGGGGTCTAATAGCTTGCATGACGATCCGTGATGACAGGGAGGGGAAGGAAATAAAGACCACGGAACGTTACATTAAATGGCATAACATGTAAATATGGATGCGCGAGGTTTTCTTTTGCATTTGTGATACATTTCGTTATATTTGGTGAAAATTTGCAAATTTTGATATAGTTTTGTGTTAATTATCAAAATTTTAACTTTTGAATATTTATTTTTTTTTTTAATACAACTTTTACTAATTAAAATTATGGAGTAATTTGATGTTAGGTGCCTAAAAATTATTTGTATTTTAGAGGAAGATAGCGTGCAATCTAATAATTATTACCTACAATATGATTAGAAGCTTTTTTTTTTACTCGTTGTCAACAGGGAAGAGGGGGATAATTCTATATGTGACGTAATATTAAGAGGAGACAAATATTTATGACGTGAAGGGGGAGGGGAATGCCCAAATTTAGCGTAACGTAATTGTTAAACGGACCTTTACTCCGTTTAATAGATTTTTTTCGATGAGTCTCGCAACGCATGTCGTGTGCAGTGCAAGAACTCGTCTTTTAATAATTCTCAGAAGATATTTTTCTATTGGACATGAAACTTATCGAAAATAAAAACTGTTGCAACCTCTAATCTGTTATGTGTATGCGTGTATGCATATGCATTACGCAGGACTGTAGTTTATCTCACAATAAATTCATTGCTTTATGAACCTCAGCTTCAATCTTAATTTCGGCTTCAGCTTCAACTGTACATTATTATCATCGATTTTTTTACGTTTCTTTAGTACCAAATAAAAGGAAGGAATAGATCACGTAGCAGCTCGTCCTTAACAACGCCTAGGATACATCCGCCGTTGGTATCAGCAGTGAGCGATCCGGCTCTAAATCTGAATAGCAACGTCTTTCTCGCGCATTTGCTCACGAACAGTACGTATATTCTTATCATACTGTTTAAAAAATGTAAATGTCACCCGCACAGGAAAATATACTTATATATACTTATAAATACCGCACTTGGAAACGTTAGTTTTGTAACTAAGTTAAAGTGAGAAGACTAAATTATTAAAATATTAAATTATTAAAGTCGTTGATAACTAAAAAATTAAATTTCGAGTATTTTACAATCTTCGGACACTCTTTCTCACGGTACAATCCACGATCGTCATGTTATATTGTCCTCTAACTGTTTGCTATTATTATTATTTCCTCAGCCTCGTCCACGCAAGTGACGACTACACAACACATTACCACTCCAGTGACGGTTCAAACCATGCAGACTTCCAACATACAGCAGGCGCAATCGCAACAGCAGGTATTACCGAGAAATATCAATCAATTTACATGACATGATCGTAACTCAGTTACAGTAAATTCCGGTTAAATTTTCGCCTGCATTTGAATTTACGTTGAAACTCCGATTGATTAAAAAGTCCTTTTCCATTGTATTATAATTCTATACCGAGGGACTAATTTTCTCTTATATCTCTTTTACAGGCGATGCAACCGTCTACTTGCAGCCAACAACAAATCCTTTTAAACACGAATAATCAAACGCATCAGTCTCAAACTAGTCCCGGCTCGCCGAATAGCTCGAACGCTCACAGTCCGCAAGCTTTGAGCCTCAGTCCTCTGCACAGTCCCATGAGTATAGGCAGCCCTCTGTCACCTAGTCGCGGGTACATGAAAGGTGAATCGGAAAGAGGGCAGTACAAGGAGCAGAGGAGAGTCGGTCACATTCACGCGGAGCAGAAACGTCGATATAACATTAAGAATGGATTCGACATGCTGCACAGCCTGATACCACAGCTCAATCAAAATCCCAACACGAAGCTGAGCAAGGCCGCGATGCTGCAGAAAGGGGCGGACTATATTCGGCAGCTGAGGACGGAGAGGAATATGATGAAAGAGGAGATGGATAACTTGAAACAGCAAATCGAGTGCCTTAACACGTCTATTAGGTATGATCGAACGCTCAAAATTGAAGAAGCCCATTTTTTTCCACGCCTGTCTTTGAATTCATACTTTTAAAGAATCTTATTAGAATTTTAAAAATTGGTAAATTATATAAAAAATGAATTAGCATTGTGTGCTATAAAAATCGTTTATAATGTATAATTTACATTTGTGATAAATATCTCAGACAGTTTTCTCCGTAATGCTTTTCAAAGGTATACATTTAGGACAATATGAAAATATGAACTCTTCAATTAGAAAAAGGAGTAATAAAGATTATATATATACATACATAAATAAATGTGTGTGTATGCAGAGCGCATGCAATAGCATATGAGAGTAAATATGTGCAGAATTGTGTGCGAATTTCGAATACTTCATGATAATAATACTCTTGTAGTAATTGTCAATCTATGCTTCCTGCAACGGGTGCTCCAGTTTCTAGCCATAGAACAAGCAAGATGAAGGAGATGTTCGACGAGTACGTGCGTACGCGTACGCGGGAGAACTGGAAATTCTGGATTGTATCCTTTTTTCTTTCTACACACTCCGAGGCAGCGGCGAGCGCGTGCCACAGAGTGAAATACGCGACGCAACATCTCCGAAAGATCTTCCTTAACGAAACAATCAGTTTAGTATATTGTTAGAACCACTGATGTTAACCTTCGATACTTCCGTCTCGACTGCGAGTATAAACGACTTGAAGATGAGTACAATATCGTGGGTCGAGCAACAGTGCTCGCTCGCCCGCCTCAGGCCAGGTTTGTACAGAAAGTGAGGAACTTAAAAGAGCATACTTAAGTATTTTCTTTGAAAATATGGAAATAGTAACGAATAACGGAGCTAGTTCGAACGAAGGTGTAATTTTTGCGATTTGAATGGAAATTATATCCGCGGGAAAGCAACAATTTCATATTGTGTTTTCAGTATCCATCGAAACGATTCTTTGAATCATTAAATTCTTAAGTGTACTCGTCGAAGCTGTAAAGGGGATAAAAACAGTTAATTGACGAACGCATAACACTGCGAATTACTTCGATTTTGTTGTAACCGAGGAATGATTTTCAGTTGTTCTAGACTCCCTGAGGCATCTATCTACTCAAACTGATATCTTGTCAAACCCGGCACGCCTGCCCGAGGAAGCGCTCGAGGCGATCAGTCAGACGAAACGCCGGCCCTCCACGCAGTGACCAAGTGCGCGATTTTGTTGCAACGTTGTTCGTGTTGTAGAAAGAAAGTTCAAGATTTAGATACGTAACAAAGAAGGATAGTTACCGTGTAGCTTAAGCCAGCCTATGAAGAAAAAAAAGGAAATTCTCAAGAACGGTTTTGTCACAGCAGACCGATGAAATATCACTTAACGCGATGACGCGGGCGAGAAAGCAGAATTTAAGTGCAATTCCTCTTTTTATTGCAAAACGTCACGTTGAAGTTGCGAGAATCCATCGTGACGGATTTATATAAGGCACGTTTTATATTTAAATACACGTGTATATTAACCATCACACCACCGCCACCACCAATCATCACCATATATACACCAAAATATGTACTAATGTAGCTATCGATATGGCCGCGCACAATCGTTCGCAGGTAATTATTTTGAAAGAAAACAATTACATGTGTAGTTCCACGTTTATTACGCGCGATTATGTATGCGCTATCTTACAGCTATACCAAAAGTCGGAGAGAATAATTCTATAATCAATACCTTTACAATGAAAATTGTATAACATTTCTAATGCTCACAATGCTTATCTACAAAGTTTATGAAATTTCGTAGTACGATAAAATTCACTCCACACCGTATTGGGAAACTTCTCTCTCATCCAAGATAATAGAAAGTTAATTTACAGCTATCGTAAATCTTATTAATTGTAAGGCGGAGATGCACAGACGCCCGTAAAATTTCTTTTTTCGTAATTATACAATTACGTCGAGCGAAGATGAAAGATGTCTCGAATATTAAATTATTTTTGTTCTAATACAACTATACGTATATACCGTACTTATACAGTGTCGTGTAAGTATGACTAAAAGTTACGTGATACCAAAATATTTCTATGCCGCCAATTGTATCCTATTGTCGAAGATGTAACGAAAATCAGTGCCATAACTCATCGTTCCGACAGAGTGCAGTCGAAGACAATTATGAAAGGGATAACTTGATGGAGGGCGTGACTTGAGGTATAAAGATGCAAGTAACTTTTGAACACGTAGGCTATCGATATATTGATCATACTGATATAGCATTTGATAAATTGCGCTGCCGTCGAATTGTCCTGCACAGTCGAGTCAGCAGAAGGAATTACACATAGGGCGATGATTGCATGGACGATAAAAAGGGGGTTGCTCAAACACGTAACACTTATGTTTACAACGTTATGCAATATAAGATCTTTAATATGGAAGTATCATGTGATAATGTACAAATCATTTACAAAAAGGTTTGACTCTACCGAATAGAGCTTAAGCTACGGAGGGCTTCTGCATATTGCAGCGTGAATTGCAGTGTGCAGTCAAATATTACGGAAAACGAAACGTCCAATACTCCGAGGAGGTGTTATGTTCTGTTTCTTTAAATTGTTGTTTTCACGTGTATTCTGAAATGATTCGTTGTTCAAAAGACTTTTTACGCACGACACGATATACAGACGCCCTCACTTAACTTACAACGTGTATATACATGTGTAAGTGATAGGTAATATAAGCGAACTCAGCGAAAGGGATGTTCTTTTGTACAATATGTATCATATAATCATGAAGACTCATATACTGTTATTACTTTAATGTTACAACATATGAAGAAACCCGAATTGATGTATTTTATTTTATTTATACCCGTATCACATTTTTTTCATTTTTGACCGTTATCAATGATTATGCTGAGAAATTGACTGCGATACAATTGCGGGGCAATTGAAATAAATTGGAGTACAAATATACATATATATATGTGTATATACAATTTTATGAATACAATCTTTTGTAAACATCGAAATATTCTTTCCTGAATTTATTTGTATCGAGACAAAAGACAAATCTGATAATTGATTTCTATTAAGTTGAACGAGTCACAACATAAATTAATACAATTCTATAATAAAGTCAAGCAACATTTTTTTGGACAGAGTCCTGTATCGTACAAATTTTAAGGAACACATTGAAATTAACTTATAATACAAATCACACAGTAACAAAATGTCATGTTCTATTCAAAGCGCATTGACGTAATCGATGTTCTGCATTTCTATTTAACGACTTCGCTCTTGCTTCAGAAAGCTAGCCGAAATTAATTGTAGACAATCAGCAAATCAATGCTAAAGTAGAACAGTCGTAACACACCATGTACAAATTGATGTTACCACTCTCGGATATTACTGTGAACGTTGGCGTTTTGATGCAATTGGTTGCATGCTCATACACACATTTGTCGATCAAACGTTTCGCTTCTTGCATAGTACGACCGGCCAACATCAGTCCGCAAGCTGCGCAGGTCAGACAATTACTTTCTTCGGCTAACATAGCTTTCTGGCAGGTTGGACAGGTCACATCATTGCTCTCGTTATCAGCCAATATTGCCAGATATTCGTCTTCCTCTTGCGAGATTCTATCATACTCTTGCAGCATCCATTGCTCTATATTAAACCACAATATGTTCAAGTAATTTCTGTCTGATCAGTGCTTCAAAACAGTAACTGTTCTATTGATAAAATGCAGTAAATTACTTTAAAAGTTTTTAATCAAACCTTGTTCTCTAATAACTTCATTTTCCAAATCAAACATTTGCTCCTCAGTCAAAAACTCATCTGTCTCTTGAGATATATTCTCTTTCCAATCTAATGTTAGATTTTTTATTTCTTCGCGTATTATTTCCGTCAATTTATCCTGTATGTGTCTCGAATTGAGTTCAGAACCAAATCTATGTCTGTTGAACAGTTGATTCCGTCTCTCTCGCATTCTCTGACGACATTTCTAAAATAGATTCTGTAACATTATTTGTATATATGACATTTATACAATTTAACTAACATACAAGACTGATCTTATAAACATTGATTTAAAAATCTGCCTGAAATCAACGTATATCCCAGCATTGGAAGAAAAACAGCATAGAAAATACATGCTAAAAGCAAAGTTAAAAGAAACAGATATGAAAACTTCACTGATTCTGCCTCTGCTTAATTTATATAGATACAACTAAATTAACATTTTCCAAGTACCACAGAGTCTATTGAATTTTATGGCATATCAAAGCATTATCATAATTCTTTGCCTTGGAAGAGAGAGGATTAATGCCAATTTTTTTGGTTTTTATGATTTAATATTTATATTTGTGAAAATTTAAACTTTTAAATCTTCCAAGATCTAAAATACATCTTGGTTCAATCGTAAATTTGATTTTTCGCGTTCGATAAAATATTAATCAATCAATATTATTAACGTGGTATATATTATTTTGAAACGTTTATCAATTTTAAATGTTCTTGATGATCAATCTTCATCTGCCAAAATACGGAATTATTAATAAAATATAAAAAGGTTTAAACGTAAATACGAATTATTAATAAACGTTCGTATATAAAATGGCACAATTGAAACATCGTTCCCCTATTAATTTCAGTCTTAATGAATCTTTTATTTATAACCACAGAAACCCCATGGTATCGAAAGTTCAACAAAATTTATTAATATATATAAGGTAAATATTGGCTTTCCAACCTCTCGCAACATCTCCTGCAACCGTGGCGATCCGTGTCTAACTTTATTCGCGTAATCTCTGCTCCTCAATTTCGTCGAATTCGTCAGGCTGTTTGCCATGACTTTTATTCTGCTGACAAAATCGAGCTGAATAGAAGAAATATGAATTTTCCACGAAGAGAAAAACGTCAAATTCGTTTAGATTCCAATATGGAGCAACTCTGTACGCATGCGCGTTGTGGCTTTTGCATTCAGTGTGAAATGCGCATCACAAATGACACGATGACCAATAAACTTTTAGTTCTTATGGAAAAACGGCACGTTGATTGGCTAACGCGTGGCTTTTTATCGTACGGCAAGCATTTTCGCGTTCTATGTGCAGAAGTCATTACTGTACTTATGAGTCTGCTCATAACTACACTTACCTGCACTTCCTACATTCAAAACAAAATTATATACGAAAAATGGGAAAATAATTAAAATTTTCAGGAATATGATTTAGAATTATTAAAATAAAAATTAACGTGATAATTAAGTAATAAAATTTTAAGTTTGCACACGGAAATGAAAACAATAATAAGAAATTATTGTACTATGTAAACAAATTTAATTATAATTACGAATAAATTATGGCTGCCGCAATTCCAATTGATAATGCAAACTTTTACGTACCTTTCCACGTGATTTTGTGTAACATCATTGCAAGAAACGTAAAGACTTTGTATATATGATACATATATAAATTTTTTTCACGTTACAATTTTATAAGGTGCTCGTATAATAGAAGTTCAATCTAACAATTCGCTTACTTTATTCACATAATGATGATCGGTCTATATACAGAAAAAACAATGGCAGCGAAGTAAGACGCTGTGACTCGTTATTCCCTGGTGGAGCAACGGCGGATGTTGACTAAACGTGTACATATAAATAATATAAAGCGCATTAATCGAACACGTCTTCTTTGTCGGCTATATAACGCACTATGTCTGAAGGTCTTAATAATCTCTCTGCATCCATATCTGGAATCTCGAAGCCAAATTCGTCTTCTATTGCCATGATGATCTCCACATGGTCCAAAGAGTCGAGACCCAGGTCATTCATGAAATGCGACTCCAAGGTCAACTAAGGAACATTCAGTATATTGTTAGATAAGAATTCAACAGACATATATGGGCTTCCTGCACAACTGACATGTTTTTAGAACCAGTAGAATACATTAAACCGAATACTTTCTGCTAAGGAAGGAAAATACATATTTGAATTTTAATCATATAATTGTTTGAAAGAAGTAAATATTCTTACATCACATGCGTACACACTTCTGGACCACACGATAATAGAAATTATTAAGCACAATAAACAATATTTACTGATTAAAATGAGGTTCATATTTTTATGTCAGTATGTATGCAGAGGCCACGATCAAGACAGGTGTTAACCAACTATTTTTCCTTTTAAATTATCTCTCGAGACGTTTCAGCAAATGCACAAAATAATACCTTATACAGAAATAATTATTTATCATTATTCCTGACAACAATTTATTTGGTATTCTTGAATTTATTTCGCATGAGTCATTTACAGAAACGTCTTAGCAAGTCTTAGTTTCAATATTGATGTCTGATAGATACCTTTGAAACATCAACTTTATCAAAAAGTTTTAAATTCAAGAGTACTCGTTGACCGATAATGTCAAGGGATAGCGGAGGCGTGTGACTGTAGTGGCGCACCTGCTTGATGCGTGTATCCCTTAAGCCCTGTAAAATATTCCCCAAAAAAATATATATGCATATATCTCTATGTAACCTTTTCTGCAGTGACTTCATTATAAGCGCCCACAACTTTCAATATGCGTTCTTGAATGTCCTTAATCGACTTTGGTTTTGTACTAGTGCAATATCCACGATTGTATTTTACCTGCATTCATTAAACATTTTTTTTCTATGTTAATGTCTTAATATTCAGAGAATATTATTAATTGGATTCGCAATTGAGATCTGACTATACAAAAAAACCAAAAAAATTACATTGTTGCAACCTGATTACCCTTATTTGTATTAGCAAGATACAGATAGCATCACGTAAGCCATTTCCTAGATTGAAAATTATACAATTTTCAGTCTTACACATATATGCATAAACGGTTTGTTCTTTTTAGCTAAACTAGCTGCACTCGTTCAAACAATTTACATACATACTGAAGCGTATGAAGCTTACATATGAGATTCTCATGCTTCAGAGTGTATAAATTTCTTGAACTAATAAAATTAGTTTAAGAAAAAAAAGACAGACCAAAGATGAAAATTGTAATAATTGGAGCTATCATAACGTTATCACTACAAATAAAATTACTTATACGATTTTCAACCCTTATGGATTATGTATAAGTTTGAAAATCATGTAATTTTTCATCTAAGGAATGGCACAACATATATGACGCTGACTATACACATATTGGCCATATATATATATATATATATATATCAATTGAATATTTTATTCTTTATATATATACGTGACTCTTACATCTTGTGACTTATGATACTATATAATACTTACAACGAAATTCATACATGAAATTGCAACATGAATAGAAACAGACTCTGTTTCAGGCCACACGAGGAACAAAAGATCAGTCTATTCCAATTGCGTCTTGTATTTCAATGTAAAATGAAATACGCGAAAAATATAAAAGAACGCAATTAGAAGGTACAAAGAAGCCGGTAATTCGGCGCGAGTGTAATAAAGAACTGAAGCATCAAATTTACAACGAACATCGAGCTCGTCGAAGAACGACGAGGTCGAGGTGCACGTCGTGGGGATTCGTCGAGCTCATGCGTCTCTCGTGCGGACTCGGGTCGCTTCATCAGTTACATAATATGCGTTTTGCAAAACACGGTGGTCGCTCGTGCGAAAGATTCGGTAGGAAGAGCACAACGACGACGTTGGTTTACCTGCGGCACTTTTGCGATTCGCGCGGCGCAGTGCAGCATCCGCTCCTCGCCGCATCCTGGCCGTGTGGCGAGCGTGACACGAGCATACCGTAGCCGATCGAACGACTTCCTGAGACCGGTATTTCTCCTGGCCAACAGACGAACACCACTCGCCACCAAGGACGCCATTTTCACCAGTAATAAGAGGATCAAGAAACAGTAGCAGTAGCAACGACGACGACGACACAACGTCGGATCTCCACGAGACTATTCGGACACCTCGTGAATTACGAAAGCCGAAACACATGCTGACATCTACGCGCGGCGAAGCGCTTATCGCGCTTATCAACTGAAACGCTGACCAATGTCATGCAGTAAGTCTTGATTTTTCTTTTCACTCGCGAGACATCGCTATTTCTTCAAGGGGTACTTCTTTCATGCATAATAAATCTAAATAATCGGCTAATTTTTTATTTTTTTAATACTTTAATGAGAAATGGAATCGTGGTACAACTCAACGACAAGTCGGGCGGACCTTTTACTTTTAAGTGATACAACTTTATATCCGATCAAATTTCCGTTTATTGTTTAACATGATTAAAGCCAGTATTCACAAGTGGATCTTATATTTAAGACAGTTTTAAGTTTATCTTCCTATGCTATGCCGCTCATTTCATTGGTTGCGAAATATCTGAAGATGAACTTAAGATGGTCTTAAATATAAGATCCAACTATGAATGCCGGACCAAAGCGCACAAAATTGAAATAATAAAATTCGAATGGCATGATGTAACAAAGGATATTAGAGGATAGAAAATCTTTTACTTGTTATTTCTTATTTAGTCAGCCTTATTTCTTAAAATAGCAACAGAAAATCACGAGAAGCTAAGTACTACTATTTATTATTATGCGTTTTCTCGGTTACATATTAATGTGTATTGATTCTTTTGCGACATATATATATATATTTATATATTTATATATATTTTTTTTTCAATATGTGGCAACATATTATACATTATAAACATAATAATCTCTTATTTATGTTACGCTTTTTCAATAATAAACACAGCGAGTGCGTCTCTCTCGATCACAATCGCATCAATCAAAAAGTGTTTAAAAAAACACGTGAGATATGCATATCACGAACACCCTGATTCTCATTTTTAATTTCCATAAAGAAAACTTAGCGAAGTGTCTCTTCATATTCTCAAATGAAATGATGTAACAAGAGGTATTAGAGAATAGAAAATCTTTTACTTATAGTCAATCTTATTTTTTAAAACAGGAATAGAAAATTAGAGAAGATAAATACCACTATCTATTATTATGTTGATTACATATTAGTGTCCCTTTCGCGGCATATATATATATATATATATATTTTTTTTTTTTAATATGTGGCAATATACATTATAATCATTTCTCATTTACGCTCTTCAATAATAAATATAGCGAATGCATCTCTCTCGATCACAATTGCATCGATCAAAAAGTGCATTTGAAATACATCCGAGACACGCATATCGCAAACACGGGACTCGCTGATTCTCATTTTTACTTTCCACGAAAAAAGGCTTGGCGAGATGTCACATCCTCGAAGGAAAATTTAATGAAACATCTCTTTACGTTCTTGAGACAAATATACAATTGTAAAAAAGAAATCGAATTACTGAGCCGTCAGTTGTTGTTTCATTCTATGTAACGTGAGCGGCAGCAAACTAACGAATTCTCTGCACACACTTATGAACTCGTGTTTCTTCAGTTCTTCCTCCTTTTCCGGATGCCTGTTGCAATAATCCATAATAAACTCATACTTGTCGAGACTGTTTTGCATGTTCTCTATCCTTAGCTTTAAGTCGGAGGTGATGATCTTGCCGTGCAATCTACCCATGAGAAATTGCGTGTGTAACGCCTGGTACAGGTAATCATCCGAGTACGTCGGGACCTCGTCGAACTTGTTGATCTTCGGGAGTGAATTCACGTAACAGTCGAAGTACTTAATGCTGTTCTTCGCCAGATGATTGATCTTCGTTATCATTTGGGCGGTCGGCTTCTCGTCGGACGCCTGCAAACGGCTGAGCTTGATCTCCATGATCTCCGCATATATCTCGCCGAGCTCCTGCCAGATCTCCCGCGAGATATTTTGATAATAACGCGAATTCAGCCCCTGGTCCAGATTCTCGAGTATGTCGATCCGCCGTTTGTGCATCTTCGCCTGCCTGTCCTCGTGCACCTCGTAGAACAATAGAAACTTGAACGCCTGTGAGATGTCCTGTACGATGCGCGCATAGTCCGACGCGTGATTGTTCAAGGTGTAGTACGTCTTCGCCTCGTTCAGCCATTTCTGCACGTTCAGAAACACCGGCCTGGCGTCCTCGAAGTCGAGCAGGTACTGGTCCGTGACCTGGCCAACGATGGCTTCCAATTCCGGGTCTATATCCACAAATTTCATCAGCTCCATCGTAGATTTCATGGACTCCGTTGCCGTTGCCGCGGAGCTCGAGTCGTCCGACTGATCTTCCTGCTCGACTCTCTTTAATAGTCGCTCCTTGGAAGTGCCCAGTAATGTAATACCGTATTGCGCCCAGCATCTAGCAACATCCGCGGATCTATGATGGTAGGTCTCGTATTCCGCAGCGATGCTCTCGCTGGTCTCTTTTGGGCCCTTCGCCTCCAGCGCGTCCCGGTGCTTCTGCAGTATGTAGGATGCCGAGGCTAAGTGATACCTCGCCTGGGTGAAGTTATCGTGGTCTATGAAGTACTGAGACAGCGTCGCGGCGTTCAGAGCCCAGTCGATATTATCCATGCTGTCCAGTCTGAGCTGCATACTCAGCGTCTTATGACAGTACGCAGCGAACCAGTCCTTGTCGTTTAATTCACCGTATACCTGCGCGAGATAAAATAGAGTCATCGTATGAATCTTATCCAGAAGCTTACAGGCGTCCAGTCCTTCTGTGTCTATGCCCATTGTGACATCTATGTCAATTGGAATGAGTTGAATGTTCTCTGTGAACTCGGTGTACAGCTTTTCAGCCTTTTCTAAAGAAACCTTGGCTTTCTCTGCCTCACACTTTGCATAAAGTATGCCCAGTTGATTGAGGGCTTTTATCATTGGCATAATACTACTAGGCTCCAGTTCAATGTCTTTCAATAAGTCAGTACACGTTATAAGTTCTTTCTCGGCAATTATTGTCTTGTCCAAATTTACATATATCGTGCCTAAATTTAAGTGAAGTATTGCGAGCATTACAACCAAATTCTCGGATGTTGAACTAGCCATCTTATTATTGAGCTCATCTATCAATTCCATTAAAATACTTATGACCTCTTCAATTTCGCTTTTGTCGTTTGGTGATAGATTGTCCATCATCTTTTGGACCTTCAGGTATTTCTCTCTCCGAGTGCTAGCTGACATATACGAGTCTTTGTCTACCTCCATTTTATTCGATGTAAGGGTGTCCAAACTTTCAATGCAATATATATCTTCTTCTTATTTTAAGATAATCTCTTTGGCAATTATTAAGCTCGCAATGAGATTCGATTGTATTTTTTGTCTCAGAGATATTCAGTGTGATATAAATTTGCTATTTCCACAGGATGGTATCATATATGGTTATAAAAGCCTAATAACAGCACCAAATAACAAAAATTATTACATGATAAAGAAGAAAAAAAAGATAAATAATTATTAGATGATAATCTTAGAAAAATTCTGGAAATATATGAGCTTTTATTAACAAAAAAAGAGCTTGCTCTCTCTCTCTCTCTCTGTAATATTTAGGAATTATACCAACCTGTTTATATTTTTGTTTTTAATTATAGATAATTGGAAACAAAAATCGCTATAACAATATCATTGTAATAAAACACTCGCTTTAACGTTAAAATTTTCTTTTCCGGAGTGTTATTTTGACACATCTGCCGTCAATTATTGGATCAATACAGTATAGGGAACAGTATGGAAAGGTCCTAGACGGTTTTATCCCACCGGCCCCTTGTACGCATGCGTTAACAACATCACAGTTACGCCACGGCATTTACAAATTCATACTTAAGTGCAACGAAGGACACTTAACTAGATGAAATACAATTTTTTATATTATTAATCTTTTCATATTAATTATTATATTGAAAATATCTTAAAGTTATTATCTTGTGAATATTGGCAAAATAGTTGTAATAAATGAAATTTTACTACAAAAAACGTTTGCTCTCTCTCTCTCTCTCTCTATTTTACAGTCTTTGCATTCCTTTCTTACAAGGGCCCTAATAGCATCTAATATTTTTATAATATACGTACATCACTGAATAGTAATGAGATAAAAGTATCTAAGAGCAGAGTTGCTACTTTCGATGTACTAACAGTCTGCAGCAGCGTGTGAGAGAATACGAATACTAGTAAGTGGCCGTGTGCGCTTGATTGGCTGACGCAAGTCACTCTTACGCGAGTTATGCCGCATGGGGAGGCAGCCTAACGCTACTATTACACTAAATCGGAAAGAATAGCGTTTGTAGCGCGCAATTATGACGTAACACACCACTACTAATGACGTCATGATTGCGTTTATAGCACTGTCTTCTAGCTCCGCGAACAATCTTTAGCACTAAATAGCGCTAATAATGTTTCCCTGAACGCATCCTAAAGGTACTATTTCATGGTAGCGTCGAGCGCCAAGCGTCGGAACCAATCAGTAAAAAATGGATTGGGTCGAAGTTTGATTTTTGTCTGCTGATTGGTTCCGACGTTTGATTCTTGTCTGCTGATTGGTTCCGACGTTTGACGCTACCACGAAATTATAATTTATTGCTCGCGATCGTTGCGAGTTTTAAATGGAACGCACCTCTAGTGCGGCCAATGTAACAATAGAAACAAACCCTTATCTGTTTTGTTCCGTTTTACAGTTCCGCCTTTCTCTTCTACGTGAGACAGCGCTTTTAGCCTATGGCCAATCACAGGACTAGTCCGCTATCCGACTTGCCGCGTTTAAAACGAGACATAAGTATATTTGGACGGCCATTTCCGTTACTTCATTCTGCAAAGACGCTTTACAGTGACCTAACAATCAAAGTGATTGAACTCCCTTCCGGAATACATGCCGTTCCTGTGTTCTGTGCATTTTGTCTTTCGAGTTAAGATTTAACTCGTAACGTATTAAGTGTGTGGGCAACAGTACAATGGGTAACTCCTTGCGGACGTATCTTACGAGGATTTCGGCGAAGAACGCGGTTGTGTAAATAGTACGTAGTGATGTCTGCGCACGCGCAGTGCGTATTCGCAGCCAGATGAGCGCGGGATCGCCGCGGAAAGGCACTGTAGGGGATTGTAGAGAGAGCCAGAGTATTGTATAGTGTGGGTGAGAGAAAGATAGAGAGTGTGAACGAGCAAGCGAGAGAGAGAGGGAAAACTGACTGCGGGTGCTAGGCTAGTCGTCGGTGCCCGTTTGATGGTACTCGGGTTAGTTTCATCTGACGAGGATCAACGACGGCGACCACACAAGTAATAACGATTACTTTGTTTCACGGGGAGATCGGTGGTAGACTCGTGTTTACGAAACATAACTCGCAGTTTCGTTCCGACCAGGCTGTGCGATGGACAGCGCGAACGTGAATGGCGGGAACGCCGAAGTATCGCGCGAGGATTCTAACCTCAACGAAAGCATCGTTGGTGGCAGCGGCGACAGCGTCATCCTACCTGGCGACACACCGATGATGCCGGTCGAGACGCAGCACTCACCCGGCAAGGTATCACCGACCGAAAGCGCCAACACCGAACCGCAGGAGGTCAACGGCGATTTTAAGAGCTCCTGCAAGAAACGTCCCACCACACCGTCCTCGCGCAAGAAGCAGCTAAAGTTCAAGGCCAATTCCGCCAGCACCGTCGAGAGCGACGCAGAAATGGTCGAAACGAGACTGCACAAACGTAAACTCTTCGAATTGGACGATGCCAGCTCCGACGATTCATTGGGATTTAGCGGTTTTGACCTTCAAGTTCTCAGCGAAGTACGAGGCAGTAGCATCCTGAAGAAACTCATTGGTAATATTTTTATTGTCTTTTGTTGCTCATTCTGGTAGTTACTATGCAGCTAGTGAGGTAGTTGCGGTCATTAGTACACTTCTGGCAAAAATTGGTCAATGACGTCCCATGATTTTCTATCCACTATGTGGTTTACATAGCTTTATATTGTTGTAATTATATTATATATCATGTTTAAGATCATAAATTAATAATATGGGACATTTTATGATGAATATACAAGGTATACATATAGGTGAACATCATGATTAAAAATGTCTGAAATATGCATATTGTAAATGCGTCGTGTATCATTTCTTATCTTATAAAATGTCAAAAACAACTATATGACTTACTTAAATGCTGAAATAGTGTACATATATGTATAAATGCAAATAAGAGTTTAATATTTTATTATGTAGAATGATATATTGAGAGTGAATTTGTAATTTTCAGAAATTTCAGTACAGCATAGTATCATATTATATGAGAACTTCTTGTGTTATTTCATATATAATAAGCTTCATAAATAATAATTGTTACAAATGATAACCATAATTATACTATAGGACAATATTTCAGAAAGGAATTATGCAATTTTAGGAATATACTATATTCATATTTTTAGAAAAGTGTTGAACCATAAATCCCGAAATTCTTCTTTCAAATATAAAAATACTTTTTATTATCAAGTTTCTTAATAATAATTACATCAATCAATATAATAAATTACTGTATCGTGTGTTCAAATATGAAGACGAGAGTACAATAAACAACGAAAAGATTATTGGTTTCCTATGATTTTCTACTTATATCGCATGCTCTCCACATAATTCTGATTACATTATACGTGGAATTCAAGCATGAATTAGTGATATAAGAAATGATATGATAAAGTTGCATCGTTTATATAGAATATTTTACGATTTTTTATCATAAAAAATGCAATATGTTTTAGATGAAAAACGCAGTATAAAATGTAAATAAATACATATGGTTTGGCATATGTTAACACATAATAATTGAGATAACTTGGTGAAAGAGATTAGAGTTTTTTATCATATATCTTCATTTATGTTATATTCTTTGCATGTGATTGTTAATTTCTAATTATCATTTTATTTTGCATAAATACTTATGTACACATTAAAAACATTTTTATACCCTTGAACTTATTAATATGATTTATTATAGCAGAAGCGGAAATAGCCGAAACCCAGCCTATAAAACGCACGAGATATTCTAAGAGGAAGCTGGAAAACGTGGAACAGAAAGAGGAAGATCTCGATCTCGACGATATGAAAGCTTTTATTTACGCAACGGACAATTTGGGCAAAACGTTAAACAGAACTAAAGAGAGGGATAATATTTATAGTGCAGAGCATCAACTTAACTTAAGCAAAGTTAAGAAGGAAAAGGAGTCTGATAAATCCGAAACAGATTCTATTGATGTACCAAATAGCATAGATTCCGAAGTGGAACCAAGCAAGACGGAGGTATCCTCCATTAAATCGACGAACTCATCAGTTACGAGTAGTCCAACTGGAGTGTTAACAAAAGTGAAAGTTAGCCGCGGTCGCACTTCACGCGGTGATAGTCCGACGAATATCGGCAAGAAGAAACCTACCGATATGTCGAATCCGCTATATAAAGAACCATTTAAGTATGGTTGGAAACGAGAGTTAGTATTTAGGGCTAGCCACGATTCTTCTATTAACAGGATGGCGGATATATATTATTACACACCAAAGGGAAAGAAAATCCGAAGTTACAGGGAACTTGCAGAGACTCGTAAGTTACGCATTCTTTGAACAGAAATACGCACTTACCCATCGCGCAATTGATTATATATAAATATTTATAAATATATCGTTTATATAAATACGAAGACTAATCAACTTGTACTTCTTTTAGTTCATTCTAAGGAATTGACAATTAGTAACTTCACATTTTGCAAAGAACCAATTGGCATAGACGACCCAGAAAAGGAAGTCATTCGAGATGCGAAGAAATGGCGGGTAAGTTTCCGGCTATTTGCGTTTAAATCGTACTGCTGCAAAATATTGTAGTGACTTAACCCTCTATAGCTCTCAATCTTGTTTGCTTCTGGAAAGAGAAACGCTATAAGAGAAAAAGAGCGAACAGTAAGGTATAAATTAGGTATTAATAAGGTATTAATTAAAGAGCGGTAAGGTATAAATTAATGAAATTAATTGAATTAGTTGAATTTCCATTTATATAAATTATATCTCATCTTTAAATTATATCTACTTAGATGTGAGAAACACTAACAACTGCATTGTAAACAGATTGTTTTGTGACAATATTATTACCTTAAAATGACAAATTATACAATGGTAAAAAATGAAATTAGACTTGGAAAATATGGATATGTGAATATGTAAATTTTAAATTACATCAGGTTACAGAGAGTTAAATATATTAATTCATTGGTAAAGAAGATATTTAAATTGGACATTGCAGGGATCCATGAGTGCAGCAGGGAGGAAATCCTTTGGCAAGAAAAAAACACTAGTGAAAAAACCACCAGTGCAGGAATCTTCTGCCCCTGCTCCTGTGGCTACACCTGCACCGACTCCAGCACCTGCTCCTACGCCTGCGCCTGCGCCAATATTTACAAAAGCTGCCGCTAAATCGCCCGTAAAAGCCGCAGCATCCCCTGGATATAAAACGAAAGGAGCAGCAAAGAAGACGCCTCAGATAAGTACGTTCTGGTACATTCACACATGATGATTTTATCCAATGAAATAATTAAAAGAGATTTAATTAAAAGAAAAAATATAAATTTAATAATTCAAAATAAAATTTAATTTTGCATTTAATCCAATAACAGCTTAGTGATTCATCATTTACTAGATCATATATTTTACATATTTTGTAATTTATAGAAAAATTACCCTTTTCCTATAATGTATATATATTTCGTTTTTATATTAGATACACACATAAGAGGTGGTTTCAATCTTACTTGACAGGTAGAATAACATTTATTATATGTGAAATTGATGACATAGTATTCTAGTGATATTGTGAGTCAAATTCACGTGTACTCAACAAATTTTTAAATTCAATTCATATTCAATTTTGTCGGAAACGAAACCGTGTATGAAAACATTTCAGTCTGCATTTTCGATTTATTTTTGTGGAGATGAGGAATCATCTCTTTTTGGGTGTACGTTCTACATATCATTGTATATTTTATTTAAAAAATTACTTTTTTTTTTATAAAAAGGGTAAAAACAAGTCAAGTGCATAAGATGTGCTGAGTTATAAAACCAAGAATAAAAACTAATTACCGAAGTAAATTCATAGAGCCCCAATTAAATATAAATAGGCTAGTAAGACTTAATTTTTGATATAATTTTTTTAAGGTTTAACCATTTCTACTAGCTAATTTATGTTTGCAGAAATGAAACCACCGGAAACAAAACCGTCAGTGGAGGAAACCGATATGTTACCACCCCAACGTGCTGCAACAAGTGCAAGACGCAATCAGCAAGTAGCCGTGGAGAAAGCTACCGCTGTTAAAACCAAAAGAGTACTAACGTGAGTACTTGGACTACTTAATCTTAGATCTATACTATTTCTATAACAAGGCATATAGTGTAGATCGATATAGTACATATACATCATGTTTGGTTTATCGCTACTATATTATATCAAACGTAAATCTCAATAGAAAAATAAAATGAAAATAAGAAAAAAGTAGGTTTCCAAAGTATCTATAACAATATAAAAAAAATTAGATATTTATTAAAAGTTATATTGAAAATAATATAACTCGATTAAAGATTTTACGAAATCTTTTTATTTTACAAAAGAATTTTATTTTACAAAACGAGGACTTATATACAGTTACACATGATTAACTCGAAATGTGCGAAACTTTTCATTGTTTTGTCTGAAGCGCGAAATCCGCTACATATTCATGAATTTCATTGCAGTCATACATGAGTATGTTTAACTTTAAACCGCATGCGTCTTGATATTGCTTTAGGAAGGAAATTTGTTTCATCTGTTTCATAATTTCTCCCTTTAATCCTGTTTCGTAAATCCTTAATGAGAGAATTTTTGTCCACCTGAATCCCTTCCCCCTATCGAAACGCACATCTTACAGGCCCAAAGTACAAGAGCCATGCAGTATAAGATGTTCGACAAGTATGGGATTGATACCGAGCTTACAGTGTCGCGTCTGTCTCTGTTTGTATCATCCTGAATGTGTTGAAGGCGTGGATTTTGCAGGCAGTGATGAATATGTCTGCAAGGTAGGTGTGTTGCGTAGTTCATATTATTATTCGAGGGACTCCGTGAACGAGCTCTTAGACTCAGATCAACTGTTCAAAATGCTCTACTCTTCTGTAAATTTATCAGTGAACAGAGAGTTGTTAGATACCCGATATTACATATTACTGTGGAATGTTCGAAATATTCATTTCCATAAAATATCGAAGAATTCAGCTCAGCTTCAGGTGTGAGAGTCAAGATTATGGATATTAGCTCGTTATTAAAATAGGGTAGTAATTTATGCGTGAATATATGTGACGCATTGTCGGAAGTTCTCAACTTAAGTCGCCTCTTTTTTTCGGTGTTAAGGATGTATTGCCCATTGGTGTCGTATTTTCAGTGGCGCATTAAGGGGGTTACTTAGTATTTAAATTTAGTATTTATCAAACAAAATTACGTTCCTATATATTTATTTTATTACCTAAATAATAAATGTTAATTTGAAACGAGGTTGAAGTAGACATATGTACAAAATATTAACATGAAAATATAATTTTAATTCTTCTTATTGATGTTATTTTATGCATTTGTTGATCTAATAGAGATGCACAAATAATAGGAAGAAGTCTAAGTGTTTAAATATGTGTATATGTATATGTATTTCGAATATTAATATAAATTTGGAACTTTATATTGCCATTGGTACCGATAAATTTTCAATAATTTGAAATTTGTATATAATGTTTGCACATTAGTCTTTGATACTACAGTAGTTTTTTTATTAAAGTTTTATTTTTAATTTAGAAGATATTGAAAATAGAAATTAAAAATAGTATGCTAATCTCAAGGAATACGTAGAAAAAGTGTCAACTTTAATTACAAATATTTCAATTCTCGAATAATCAAACTTTTTTTTATTGCACGAGCAATGAGTTTTATAATATTTCAATGTATACGCAGAGAAAATTTTATCAAATTCTTCAAACTCATTTAACCTCTTACAACTCCATTAAAGTGAAATCATTTTTTATCCAGATTATCAATTACTCTCGAACTTTTGATGTCACTTTTGAATGTAGTGTAAATCAATTTGTAATTTCTTCACTTGGAATCTTCGGGCGATATATCCTTGATACTACGTATTAATTATAGCGAGAACTACGGTGATATTTACCTGCGGTTAAATGTATGTTGTAGAATTGTCAGCAGGACACTAAAGAATCTCACACGTCAAGCAATCCGTCTTTGACACCGCCTCCGTTAATCCCGATTAGTATGTTAGGTGCGCAGAATGCGAAAACGAAGCACCCGGCTAACTTAATCCCTCCGAAATTGCAAAGAATACCCAAGTCCGAAGGCGCGGACGCGCAAACGAGGAGCCCGTCGAGAACTGCCAAAGCACCGGCCGCGTCGCCGAGCTTGCCCACGGGTGTGGACAAGAAGGACAGCAGTTGGTTCCCGCAGACAGAGAACGAATTCTTGCAGAGCCACGACGGCACCGTGCCGAAGCCGGCCCAGAACATCGCCGTGATGGGCGGCAAGAGATACATAGTGGTGCCGAAAAATAACGCGATGGCGGTCCAACCGGCTATCACGGTGAAGCCGGATATGATCGGCGATAAGCCGCCGACTCTCCAAGACGGTTCGCTTGTCGACATCTCGAACACGGTGGACAATTCCGTCACGAAGCTGCGTGCACCTCCGGTCAAGCACTCGGATGCCGAGCTCGTGCCTGCGTGCGAGCTCGAGAAAGCGAGCGTGACACCCGACAAAGAGTCCACGAGAGACGACGCGGAGGCGCGTCTGGCGGATCTCGCGTCCGCCATCGGCGCCTCCGTCGATGCGACCGAACCGCTCGAAAATAAGGACACTGCCAAGGAAACAGACAAGTCGCTTGAGAACGCTTCGTGTAATGAATCTTCCACTGCCAATGTAGACTGCCCCGCGTCGGAAGGCGAGACTGCATGCGAGCACGTATCAGGTCGTAGATCGCCCGAGAGCAGCGAACCCGTAACGCCGGTGCACACAACAAGCACTCCGAATGCTCTTGAAACAGCGAACGCGGAAACGATTGATACAGATTGCCAACAGACGTTGTCAAGCAATGTGAACACAGTAACGGTCAAGGGCCTCATGTAAGTAATATACTCTCGGTAACACGTTTAGGCACGTTTCTTATTTTATTCCTCGTTTTACCCAAGCGATCTTTTGAGTTACGGCAACTCTGTTGAGGTTTTGGCAGTTGCTTTGTACATATTGTATTTACAAAGTTTATGATGTTTACAAATAGTCTTTCCATAATCCACGCTTCGACGTTCGATTGATAAATATATTAAAGAGAGAAAGAGGGAGAGAGAGAGAGAGAGAGAGAAAGAGAGAGAGAGTGTGAGTGTGTATTTCTATTCTTTTGTTTTTTTTTTCTCTTACACTACAAGGCTTGAGTATATTAAAGTAGATTTTACGTTACGAGACAATAAGGAGGTATTTTGTTATTGATTTCATAATCCAACCATGTAAAAGCATTTATATGTATGAGCACCTGTAAATGCAATATATACTCATGCTTATTATATATGAAAATATAGAAATCGATTGTTAAAAATGAATTTGATTTTATCTTATGATCGAAGCACACTGCCTTAGCTTCTTAGAAATGCGGCCAAATTCTCAACGAAATATGAACGATAAGTCAAGTGCACTCGTTAATTCTTGCAAGTATCTTGTAATTGTAGTATCAAAGTAAATTAAAAATTTACAGATTCTCTGTGATCGTTTGTTTTTGTAACGGATATAGAAGAATGCACATATTATTATAACTATAGTGTGTTTACATTCATGCTACAAATACAAGTTACATAAGCGATAAGTGCTTCAGTGGAAAAATCTAATTCATTTTTACTTTTTATATTTGCAGATATAATGACATGTGCGAGCTGAAATACAAACAAAACACAAATACCTGTTAGTGCGTTTTCCCATAAATTCTCACTGTCCATCTCGCATCCTCTAATCCCACGTACATTTTCACATTCATTTTGTTTGCTTTTTAAAAACCTCTTTCTTATTTTTTTAATAAAAAATATGTCGCCGGTTAGCAATTAATTTTACGAGATATGCTCCCGACGTATGTGATAGATAACGTTTATAACAGACACATTAACGAGAGAATATTTCAAATATTTAAAAATCGTCAAATATTTAAAAATAAATTCTTTGTGTCTAATAATCGGAATTAAGTCGTACTTTTCAAAAACCATACATGATATTAATAAAAGTGTGCGCGGATATGTAGTAGCTGTTAAAACCGAACAAACTTTTCTGAAATATGCAAATTTTGAAATATTTGCAGGAGGAAACAGAACCAACAAGAGACAGCCGAACAACAACAAAACTTCATGGGTTCTGTTTGCGCCGGCTATCACGCGTTACTACGAATTTTTCAATATCTAAAGGTCCAAGAACTCCTGCGCGCAGCGCGTGTTTGTAAGATGTGGCGCGATCTTGCAGCCCACCCGTCCCTTTGGAAAACAGTGCGTATGAAAAACAGCCAGGTGACGGACTGGGACGGATTAGCCGATACTTTGCAAAGACGAGGAACGCAACATCTAGATCTTCGCAAAATGCTGGTATCGGGAGAGTCAGACGGAATATGGAAAAAATTCTTATCCGTTATACCGCGGGTAACGAGCCTGGTGAAATTAGAGTTGTGCAGATGTCCAGTCATGGTGGTTGAAGAAGTAATTAAAAGTTGTCCACAACTCGAAGTACTGAGTGCTATGTCAATAAAGTGCGATTCACTAACTTTAGAATCAGTCGGAAATCTAAAACGTTGTCAAGAACTCAGACTTAAAGCGATCAGTGGCATGTCATTGCAACAAGATCTTACACCTCTGCAAGAATTAACGCAATTGACGCAGTTGGTAAGGGTCTTATTTGAAGTTATTTTCAGCAAAACATTTCTATCGTGATATATTTTTTTATTATTCATACTTTTATATATTCTACATTTATAATTGTTCTTCTTGCTTTTGTAGAGTTTAACATCAGTCAAGGAACTCGGGAAGAAAAAAATCGAAGTTATACAGGCGTTGGTAAACTTGGAAACGTTAGAACTAGGCGAGTGCTCCGACTTCCCCGACAAATTTGGAACGACCGTTCTAATAAAATTGAACAAATTGGAACGCCTCAGACTTGAGAAAGGTCAAGGATCTTGTTGTACGTTTGATATACTTGAGGGCGTATCGAAATTGGAGAATCTAAATCAGATGGAGCTCGTCAATTTTGACGTGAAGAACGGCTTCGACAAATGCCTCGCCAATTGCAAAAACATCAAAAGGTTATTGATTATACCTACTTACATATCGCAATCAGCAACTTCCAACAACATGGTCCTTGGTGGAGTAACCGAACTTTCAAATAATCTAACTCATTTTGTATGGGGCGTTACTCTTGAATTGCTTCGAGTCACCGAATTATTTGTGGATCAATGCAATTTAATGACTAAGCAAGTCACCGGCGACTCCATACCTGTTCTTAAGCCGGTTCCCTGTTTGAAACTGATTGACGAAACAGAGGATGAGAACGAGAACCAAAGAGGTATGTCTCGCTTTATTTGTATATTCTTAAATCGCGTTATTTCTATGTGCTTCTATTTATATGTGCTTCTATTTATGTGTGCTTCTATTTATATGTACTTCCATTTATATAAGTTAGAGAAGATTACGAATGTGAGCTACAATAAAAAACAAATATTATGTGAGTCAGGATTGAGTAGTAACAAATTAATCAGAAATTATGTTAGAAAGTTAAAAAGCTAGTAACTTCTAACTTAGTTATTTTTAAAATATGTTAACTTGTAACTTAAACTAATTATTTTTAGTTCTAACTTCTTAACTTTGTTTTTATATAAGTTAAAATATTTTTTCAATCGTTACTTTCTAATAAAAAAAAAAATTGAGAAACACAAAGACTACATTCAGCGGGAAAAGCAGATCCAGTGAGCGCTCAGTGATTGTTGTCTGTGACTAGAGCATTCTTTTAGATTTTTTATAGATCCAAGAATATATATCGATCAGGAGAGATAATCACTAAATACTTACTGAGCTGTCTTTTTCGCGGAATGCAGCCCAAGTCGTTTCGTTGGCTGCATATCATCTTAAAATAATCTTATGATGATATTTAACCAATATAGATTTGTGTTGAGATATTAGATAAGACGTCTTACCGTTTCTAACATATCTATTCGTTAATAATGTTTAATTCCTTAATAATTATTGCAAAATTCGCAAAATACTAGAAGATTTTTCTGTTCAGTTCAATTCTCTACTTATATGCAAGGGTTTTGCTATTGTCAGACACTCGGTGTAATCTGTAATTATAGTGATATAAATTAAGATCTAACTAATATTAGATTTTAATTTATACTTATATTATATATATAGTACGTTTATGTATACCTAGGTATATTACTAACCTAAATTCCATATATTTATTCATTTATTCTTGTATTTATTCATTTCTTTATTATTTATACATAAATTTTATCTTACTATTAACTTTCGTTTAATTTTTTTAGGCGCTTTACTTAAATATCTTTAAGTATCAAAATTATTTCATAATTTCGCAGGTGATGATAAGCAGCAACCGCATATGACGAGTCCACAAGTCGACATCTTACCGTTGCCGCAATTGCAAAAACTTCTCCTAACTGCATTGCCGAAGACGAGAGTTAAGATCTTGAAAATTCCTTTTCACGCTACATGGCGACAAAGCATTTCAGATACGACGACACAGTAATTGCGAGCTAAGTGATATCAGGTGAAGTAAAGAAAGAAAATCTTATTGAAAATAAAAGATTTTGCAAAATTGACTATATTCTATATAATGTCTGCAAATATACCCCAACTTGTGACTTTTGGTTAGAAAAACAATTTATATATTTATGTATAACACGCGAAATAAGAAATTTTTAAAGGTTAATCCTTTGTAACAAACAGGTACACACCACACAGTGATTGAAAAGTCATTACTATATACAATTATTATTCTTATAATAAATATGCGGGGCCATATGTATATCACGTTTTGTCCGAAAACAAAAATAATGTGTACAATAATTTAATATTCACCTCTGGCAGTTAATTTTATCGAAAAAATTCTATTCTTCGTAAATAGCAGTTCAACTCTTTTACAGTAAAGAAAAAAATAATAAAATGATATACATATTTTTATACATTATTAGAGTTGTGTGATGTGTACCTGCGTTGAAAGCAGTTAAACGTATATAAAATTAAAGATAAAATATGTAAATATACGAAGATTGGGTATTGGTGCAACACAAATACATGCTCGCCTACACATACGTACTCACACACACATATACACACATTTACATAGACATACATATATCACTTACAATACCTACGTTCAGCAGGAAAAGTAGATTAATTAGCGCTTTGTGATTACTTGATGCGTTTAGAGAGCACAACGGTTGTGCAATTGTTGAGTGATCGTTGACTTTTGACTTTGGTATTCTATTAAATCTATAATAAATCTAAGAGAAAATGCTCCTGTAAAAGTGAACGCTCACTCGACTTTGTGTTTTCTAAATACAGCCATTGTTTCTGATCGGTACACATTTTAATTGGTACATTTTTTTTATATTATAGAAGATCTGAAGGAATATTTGAATCATAAATAATCGTAAAGCACTTAGTAAGCTATTTTTTCTGCTGAACGCAGGCAATGTTACATGCGTTTGTCTCATTATTGTCTCAATTACTCGTCAAATGTGTTGAGTATATTTCTCTGGAGATGTACACAAAAAACGACAAGTCTACGTTTATTATTTTACAGTATATTTGACATTGATTTTCTGTTGGAGTAGCAGAGAGCATAGAATCTGTACGGCTCTAGCTAGAAATTAAGCTGTACAAAAATAATGATATATACATACTGATATTGTGGCTGTATGTGTATCTGTAATATTTAAGATAATATTAAATTTTAGCTACAGAAAGGAACACTTTGCGATGAAATTTTTGGGATTAGTCGTGTAGAATGTGTAATATACTTATTACTTGGTTGCACAATGCATAATCAAATAATAATTGTTACAAAGATTCATTGATCGATATATGTACTGAGTACAAAAATGCGTAATAACTATAAGTTTTCAATATAGTGACTGTCTATTTCTTTTAACACAAAGCACAATTAGTTTCTTCATTTATGTGTTCCTGTCATTATCTTCTATAGTAAATTAGTACGATATTAGAGAGTAAAAAGTATATTTTATACAATAATAAATGTAAGGAGGAAGCGTCAGAAGCACGCCAAATTGACGTCTTAAACAACATGTAGTTCAGATACATTAAACCTTCTGTTTCCTCGTCACAATCATCTTGATCAATGAGGACGGAAGTGATAAAATACACGCTCAAAATTTTTTACAAAAATACTTTGAAATAAACAGATCTGTCTGCAGATCAGCATAAGAGCCTTAACATATAAAATCATATTCTTTTAGAATAATGCATTTCTTAAGACTCTAAGATGGTACATTTTATTAAGGATGTCTCTCTATGCCACTCTGTGTATTTTCTTGCTTCTGACATATCAATAAAAATAATCGTGGCGAAGGACCGGTAGACCTATTCTGTGATTATTAATAATAGTATCATTATATTGTCGTTGTGCAGTTTGTGCACCATATACTATAATTGCCCAACGATAACGTAATAATAATGATACTATCGTTAAAAGTCACAGGGCAGGCTTACAAGAGCCCTAAAATGCGTAATTAAACAACATTTATCTCAATTCATTTCACAGGTGGATTCATACCCATACGCAACCATGTGTTTTTTCGCTCTGACAACCTTTTTTCTGCATTCTTTAATAAATACAATTTAATACACGCACCGATAATATTGTCATTTTCATGCGATATAAGAAACTTACGCTTACGTTATAATTAATTGTATTTCGTTTCTTAAGGATTAATTGTATATCTGTATTAGGTTAATAACGTGCAAGAGTTATTTTTTACAAATATTATCCTTAATACAACGCTAAATCAAAAAAGAAGAGAGTTGTAATATTATTATTTAACTCTATAATATAAATTCGTACACAAAGTGCGAACTGCATAATTATTTATCTGCACATATGATTTCCAAACATGAGACGCGCAATATATGTTAGCAGTCACATTTATATGAGACTAGATAATGCGGATAACGCATTTTTTCTTAAATTATGAAAAACTGATTTAATTATCTGCGTATATGCTTGTTCAATTGAGCTCTTTTGTCGCATCATTATACATTTTTTCATTGTTTGAGGTTCCTGTATACTCGCTACAACCGCCCTTGTTTGGTGATGTCAGGAGCGAGGAGAAACGCATGTCGAAATATATTACGGTATATACGAAATATAACAGGAGTGTTATATTGCATTTACATTGTTGAATTGAAAATTATAACTAACAGTTACTATTACTTGATATTAACTGGGGTATATTTTATGAATCTATATTTTATATATTTATTCATTTATTTATGAAGAGCTATGACCAGAATGCTAGATTTTAATTTAAATAAAGTTACGTAACATTATAACTGATTTATCTAATACGGCACTACACTAACCGTGCTTAATTCTTCATGGCCCAAATAATAAAATAATTTTAATAATTTAACAGAGCTTTATCGATATTTTACTTTAATCTTTTATTTATGAATTTATGAATTTATTTATTACTTGTAAATAAGACAGGAGCCAAATATCGATTGTATAGAAATATCACTATAGGCTGCACTTTCCGTCATAACTGCATTTTCCCATATTTTAGTTCGGAGAAATCATATTTGTTCATCAAACTATTTTTGGAATCTTTCTTGCGAACGTACTTAGCCCTGTACCGGATTTCGCAATTAGATCCTCAAAAATTTATAATAAATAAAAATACGGATTTGTGCTCCAGGTACACTCGCGGCACGTAGAGTGCAAGACGAGTCTGCATTTTCATTTATTATACATTTTCGAGGGCCTAAGTGCAAACTCCGAATTTGTAGTGCACATTGTACAATTGCCAGAAAAACATCAAAAATAGTTTGACAGTAAAATATGAGCTTCTCCGAACTAAGATATATTAAATCCGCTGATGCGGATTCCAGTGCGGATGGCAGAAAGCCAATGAATGCTTGATTTATATACGCATGCTGTTTGTATTTGCATTATTATAGGAATTGTGCAGGAAAAACGAAAAACCAACTGCAAGAAACAGGAAAAAAATTAATTTTGATGTTTTAACATATATAATTAATTGCGCGATCATTTAATAAAAAGAGAGATGAGAGATTAGGTAAAATTATCAAATGTAAAATCAGAAATTGCGTTTCAATATTTGTGGATAATATTTGTAATATTTGTTCGAATAAACAAAACAAAAAAAGTTTCCGACACAAATACCGAATCAAGCGAAGCAAAACAAATGACAGTTTGTACTAGAAAATATTTCTTTTTATATACAAATAAAATACAAACTCTATTCTCTATAAAATAATATATAACTAGTTACAAAACTCGAAATCTTGAGACAGTAACAAAAATTTATGTATAATCATGTGGCACGAGTACTTCAGTCTCTTTTAATAATCTGTCGTCGATCAGTTATCATAATTTGCCGGTATGTAGAATATAGCGAGTGAAACCGCTGCTTTATGTTACTGTCTTGCGTGTTACATGTTACCTTCAAAGGAAATTGTACAACACCTGGTCTGGTAGTCTCCTGTGGCGGTTAATTTTATGTCTGAAAGTTCTAGCTCTTATTATCGACCAAGTAACCCGTATACTTTTGAAGCTTGCAGCAGAATTGCAATATTGTATATTGTAATGAGATGTTGGAGACATTGTAAGAGACATGGATCCACGATATAGTTTCGGTAATGTTACAGCAATATTAAAAAAATGTTATGAATAATAATGTAATATAACTGCGAGCTTGAGCATATGCGGCACAATATATCGCATATTATAAATAAATTAACATATAAATAAATAAAGAACGCACAGAGGAGACATATTTTCGCTCAGATCACAAATGACCTGTATGCATTTAATAAAAACCTACTCTCGCGTCGTTACAAATTTCTCGTGTTACGAACGCGCTAATTTTCGAAGATTTGAAATTCATAATGAAGAAATTTCAAGTTCGCTGACGGTCGGGAAGAGAGAAAGAGAACGAGTAAACGAGCGAGCGAGAGAGAGAGAACGATCGAGTGTGATCCATCGGCGAAGTTCAGTGTAATCGCGAAAGTAGGTGACCTCTGGCAGAAATTGAAAATCAATAAAGTGCGGGCGGCGGAAAGCCGACGAGTCCGCGATGTATGCATATACACGGCGGCACAGACCGCCTCGGCTCGCGAGCGATTTTAAGGTTATGTCGCCCGCGTCTCTTGACGACGGCCGGCCTGTGCGTGCTATTTTCGTTCACGGCAAGAAGAAGTGTTTATTCTTGCCGATCGTAGGCGCGCGTTACGCATTATAATGTATCTGAATGCGCGGGCGAGCCACGAGAGCGCCGTAAGATAGTAGTCCAAAATGGGCAGGAAGAAGGCTCATGCGTCCAAAGGTAAACACGGCCCGACGCAGCAGAGGCACATATCCACGGCGAAGAGGAACGAACTGAATGCCCTGTGCGAGAAACTCTTTCATCGTGAGTACCATCGTCGAACTTCTTTCCATGTACCTTCACGCAGCACGAGACACGTTGCACCCCTTCGCGGAACTTCGTCGCGTGGCACGTCGAGGACGATCAATGTTGATGGATCAAGCGAACGACGAGACTCCTGGGTTCTGTTCAAAGATAAAGTTGCACAGCGTGAACTTCTAAATACGTCTTGAAGTCGTAATCTCGAAGACGTCCTACTTTTCTTTCAGACGTCTCTCTCAGATTCGTCTTCAGGTCTCTTGGAAGTTTGCGCCGGGGAGAGTTAAAAGAGGAATGTGTGTCAAGGATTTCATGTGTTATGCGGCATGCCTCAGCTGTTCTCCGGTGGAATTGACCCTTTGGTCGCGAGAATGATTCGCACTTATTTCTCTCATGTTCGCAGTGAGCAGCAATCCAGCATACGTGACGCAATTATGGAACAACTACTTGGATATCTCGGAGGTTCTGCTGAAGGTTAAACGTCTGGAGGAGATGAAGACGGAATCGTCCGAGCGATCCCAGGGGATTGGTCATTTCATAAACTGGCTCACGGAGAACGGGGCGCGAGTGGACGGTGTGAGCATCGCCGAGTTCCCGGGTTACGATCTGGGACTGAAGGCGGAGACCGACTTTGCCGAGAACCAACTGATCCTAGAGATACCAAGGGCGCTTATCTTCAGCACGTATACCGCCGCTCCAGAGTTGGCCGTTCTGCAGAATGATCCGTTGGTGCAGCATATGCCTCAAGTGGCATTGGCGATAGCGCTTCTCATAGAGAGGCACAAAGAGAACTCCAAGTGGAAGCCCTACTTGGACATGCTTCCCGGCAGTTACACCACGGTTTTGTACATGAAGGCTACCGACATGATCGAGCTCAAAGGCAGTCCGACTTTAGGTAAGCGAAGGGATCATTGGCAAAGCTTACTTCCTCCTCATCGAAGGGAATATGTAGATCAATGAGAAGAAAAGATACGCATCGGTGAAAACCTACTCGCGATTGCTTACAGCGATATACTATTTTCTTTTTTTTATTTTTGCGAGAAGGTGTAAATGTTTAGCATGTGACGACACACGTGCAGGAATAGTCTCTAGTCTAAGGCACACGTCTGAATCAACCTTCCACGCTAAATGAATCTTTAATTCCGAATATATAATATAATGTATAATATCATAATCCCTTTTATAATCCTACTCAACTAATGAATAAGAGCATCTATCTATTTCGAATTCCATGGTACATAAAACGCTGCTTTAACCAGGAATCGAACCTCCATCATCCTATTTGCCGGACAGAGCACCGTACACAGAAAAAAGTGCTAGGTTCAAGTACGTATAAATAATTATTCCAATAATCCTTGGCAAATTTTTACTCGGATTCACTGATTCGATAATTTACTCGGAAGATATTCTCACTTAATAAAATATTACTTGGTCCCACGAAAAATTTGCTATAAAATATTGGAATCACTACTTACTTGAATACCGAGGCTAATTTGGCTGTCGAGGATGCTGTCGGCCTGTCGACAGTATCCTGTTCCTCGCAAAACATGCTTCATAAATCGCGTTAGATCGAAAAAATAAACAATACTTTCTTCCGTCCGGTGTCTCAATTTTATATTTACATAGATTTCGTCAATTACTAAAACTAAGAAAAGATAGACTGGCCAAGAACTACTTGCTCGTGGCTGTTGCAGCGATATATGATTTTTTTTTTATCATTATTCTGGGAAGATATAAATTATAGGAATTTTAACGTGGAAAGTTAATTCGCCGCGTGCGTCAGGCCGGAGACTATTCCGACGCGTGCGTCATCATACGCTAAACATTTATACGCTCCCACAACTTCGTTCTCTCTTACTTCGTTCTGTCTTATCTCGGAGAAACAAGTTTGTACTTGCTCGTTCGTTGCATCGTTTCGCATGAACACGAGCGGAAGATGATCGTTAGCTCTTGAGTCTGAAAGTAACGCGGATCCGTTAACATTCCGTCGGCTGGAACACGGAAGAATGCAGCTGCGGATCTTGTACTAATACATTTATTGCATTTGTGCAGAGGCTGCGTTGAAACAATGTCGGAACATCGCGAGGCAGTACTCTTACTTCAGCCGAGTGTTTCAGAGTAACAACAACGCCGTTTCCGCGGTACTCAGGGACGTCTTCACCTACGAGAGATATTGGTGAGTAATTTTGCGAATCGTCTAAGCGAGACTGGAGAGTCACCGAGCTATCTTGAGCGTATAAAATTTACAAATTTTATATCAAATACAGCGCTTACAGAGTATAAACGTGTATATAGTATATGTATATATATATATTATATATATATATATATATAAATAAATATAGCTTATCTCCTATGCGTGGGAGCTCTCGGGAGTGCAAGATGTCGGTATTCAACGGCGCGCAATGATCGATTTAAAGTCACGTGAGTGCTCGTGCGGAGCGTATCGAGCCGGGTGTCACTTCGCGTAATCCGGTATCGTCTCCCAGCTGTCGTTTGCGTCCAACGAGTCGTTGTCTATGTCGCTCTTGCCGTCGAACTCTTGCTCCTCGGAGCAGGTCTCCTGCGTCTCCGGCCGCTCGGCCGGCCTCTTGGCCGTCGACGTGGCGACGACGTTGACCATCACGGTGCTGAGACTGCTGGAATTCGAGAGCTTCCGCGCTGCCAACATCGGGCCCTGAAACACCGCTCGCGAGAACGTGTTCCGATAGGTGTACTTCTGCTTCTGCCGTATCCGGCAGATGATGAAGATCGCCAGGAACACGACGATCGTCACGCCGAGAATCGCGCCGCTCGCGATTATGCTCGGCTTCACCTTCGACAGAGTCTTCTTCTCCTCGCCGCCGAGAATGCCCCCGTCGTTCGTACTGCTCGCTTTCTCGTCGTCGTAGGTCGTCTTGAGGTCCACCGGCTCCTCTCGCGTGATCTCCTCGACGAAACCAGCGCGGAATTCGCTCGTCGAGTCGTTCGACCGGACGATCCTCTCCTCCTGCTCGTTAATCAGCACTATGTCCGCGTGGTCGTCGCTCACGGTAGATCTCGTCTCCGACAGCCGCTCTTCATCACCGCTGATCTCGGGTTCGAGCTGTCGCTGCACTTCCTTCGCGAAAGGTACGGTACCGAAGGTCGTCAACAGGTCAACGATGTGCACCGTCCGATGGGAGTCCTCCAGTTCGGCGTATTCGTCGGTGTTCTTCGCCTCGTCGTTAGCGTCGAGCGGCTTCCTCGACGACGCGTTCCTGTCGCGCTCCACGAGGCCCAACAGCCTCGACATCGACGTGTTTTCCGAGTGCCTGTCGAAGAACGGGTCGTGCAGATAGCTCACGATGTCCTGCTTCACTTGGCTCGTCGAGATCTCCGGGTTCTCTCTCACCACGTCTGCCCCCTGGGAGTCCGCGAGGTTGAGGCGCTCGTCGGAGCCTTTCGCCGGCGAGAGCGATATGACGATCTGGCCGTCGTCCATCCTGACGGTCTCCTGGAGGTTCGGCTTGGGCACTCGCAGCCGAGACACCTCCGTCAGGTGGACCTTGCTGGAGCCTCGCTGACGCAACGCGATCAGCTCCTCTATGCTCATGTTCCGCGACTTGAGAAGTCGCTCCAGCCGCTTGCCAGCCGACCCGGACGCGAACAATTCGAAGATCTCCGCTCGTGCCTCCGGCTCGATCTCGGAGACGACCTCCTCGTAGCGTCGGTTGTTCGATGCGGCCTGGTGGTTCTCCGGCGTACGGTCGTCGCTCGGATTCGGCTTCTTTTCCGCTTCTGGAGTCGCTGTGCTCGCGTCATCGTCGGCCCGCACTATATTCTGTCCGCCGTCGCCGATCGCGGCGTCGCTCTGATACTCGGCCTCGAGGAACGTGTTGTAATCCTCCGCGGAAGGGCCGCTGATGCGGATCGACTGGACGTTGTCCCGACTCGCGTCCTTGTCGTTAGCATCCTCGATGTCTTCGTCGACGTCTTGGTCGCCGCAGTCTTTCGTCAATTCGATGCGCTCCGTGGGGTTGAGAATCTGCTCGATGCTCAAGGTGGATTCGACATCGCGCGCTTCCCCGGGTTCCCTTGCCGGCGGCTTCTCGGCTTTCTCGCTCGACCAGTCCGGCGTCATCGGGCTCTTCGCCTTCTTGAAGTCCGTGAAGTCCGAGAACTCCATGATCTCGTCCTCGTCGAGGTTCTCCAGCCTGGCGCCGCGGTCGCTCGTTGAACCCGCGTTCCCGTCGTCGTTCAGGAAGTATTCCATGGAGTTGACCGTGGGCAACGACGTCGACGTGGTGATCGAGATGCTCGGGGGAGTGGTCACCTTCGGCCACGAGGAGTCCTGCGCGGACCGGCTTATCGTCTCAGCGCTCTGCGATTCCTCCTCGGGCACGCGACTCGTGTCGTTCGAAGACGCCTCGTCGTGGCTCTTCATCGAGAACTTGTCCGGGATGAGCGTTACTCTGGAGTCATTCGGGGTGCTTGAAGTTGCAGACTTCGTCGTGGTAGCGTCGGACGCCTGCGTGGACTTCCAGGCTGGCGTGGCGGCGAGTTTCATCAGCGAGTTGGACATCACCCTCGACATCTCCTCGATGTACTCGTCGGACTCGTCGGCGATTCGCGACTTCAGGGCGTTGATCACATCGGCCTTCCCCTTCAACAGGTCGTTCAGAGTCAGATTCCTGCGCTGTAGAATCTCCGACAGGCTCGAGCCCTCCTCCTGCTGCATCTTCAGCAGCGACTTCAGCTCGAGCGCGTTGTCCGGTGACCGCGTGACTGGCTGATCTTCAGCGTCCTTCGACTGCGACGGAGGTCGCGCAGTGGACTCCACGTCTACCTCGGGGCTCGCCTCGTTCGCCAATGCGAACTCGTAGTTCTGCGGCGGCCGCCTCTTCCTCGGCCGAGGCCTCAGGTACTCCTCGTCGCTGAATTCATGCTCGTCCGGACGAGCCTGGAAAGCCTCGCGGTACCTCGCCGAGGTGGCTTCCTTCTCGTCGTCCTTGGACAAGTCGACGACGGCGTTGCGGCCGTGTTTCTTGTCGTGGCTCGCCGCGTTCCCGACCGTCTCCTCGTAGAGAAGCGCCGGCTCGCGCACCGGGTTCTTCAGCGGGCGACGCCTCTTGCGCGGGTAGTCCTCGTCAGGGTCATCGCGGTACGCCGGCTCGTACTCGTCCGGGAACGGAAGTCGCCTCCCTCGGGGACGGTTCTGGTTGACATAGCGATACTTGAGCGGTCGGCGAGCCGCCTCGGGCGAGTCCTCCTGCTCGACGTCGTCGACCTCGTCGTCCCTCGAGTACGACCGGTAGTGAGAGAAGGGCAGCAGAGGCACGGAATCTCCATCGCGCCACTTCGGCTCGAGTGCCTCGCCGTTGTTCCTCCACTTCCCCACGGGCTCGCTCGATCCTCGTTCGCGATCCTCCGCGGCTCTTCGCGGCACTTCAGCGTCGTCGAACTGGCCGCGCGATGGACCCTTCTGGAAGAACCAGCTGCGTTTAATTGACTCCTGCGAGCGACGTGTGAATGCACGCGAGTGTGATCTCTCAAACGGCGCTTCGTTTTTGCACTCTCGCGTAATCCGCGGGGATATCGCGCATCGCCGATAATATCGCCGGGAAAATATTTTCATTACCGAAGTATACTTTTATATATAAGAATGTATACAAAACGTGAATGAATATTACACATAGCGTTATATAATCGTGATTATGTAGTTTATTATTCTAAAGAGGCTCGTTTCTCGTATAGTTAGTCGTGAAAAGGCCGCAACGCTTCTTTTTTACGTTTGGAACGCATCGCGTGTCCAGTAGGAGAATTTATTTTCTAGCAATCATCAGGAGATATATTTTCCTATTGGATACGAGATAGGCTGCGAAATTCGTAGAGGAGAAAAGCGTTGCAACCTTTTTGTGACCATGACCGTACACTCGTATAATAATAATGATAATGCGCACGGAGATAATATTGTAGTAAAAGTTGCCATAAAATTTTATAATGCTGAACCATGTCGGGATTATGATTGAAATTATTATATGTTGTAACTTTTAGTGATATGAACAGTCGGCAAATTAAAAGTTGCAACACTTTTTTTCGGTGTAACATAGATTGTATCCAATAGGAAAATGTATCTCTTAAGGATTGCAGAGAAACAAATTCCCTTATTGGACGTGGGATGCGTTATGCGAAAAAATATTGTTGCAATTCTCAATCTGCCGACTGTACATATGAAATACATCACTGAAGATTACAATACACATCATAATTTCAGTCATAATTTTGGGGTGGTTCAACATTGCGAAATTTTGTGGTAATTCTTACTACAATAATATTCCCCGTGTAATTGAAGCTTGGAGCGATCTTGGAGCGAAAATAAAAAAATAGTTTATTTCTCAAAACAATTTCAATAAAAAGGCGGAAACGTGATAAAAACAGTAAAATTGTTTTAAAATTAATAATTACAACATAAACAACAAAAAGCGAAAATTTTTGGAAACAATGACATTTTCAAAAACATTAAACGAAAGTATCAAAATTTTGTGCTAATATCGGCAGCACATTTGTGCTCTTTGGAATATAACAAGTTTAGAAGAAAACAATTTATTGAGAATCAGGCCTCGGAAGTTCTCTTTTCCACTCGCAGTGCACCCCGGCGCGCACTCTATCACACGGATGTAACTTCTGCCGAATAATAATCATGGTTATAATTATACGAGACGCGGATAATTGAACGTGAAGATAATTATTAATTTTTCGCAGCATATAGATTGCTTTTTGCGAGATGATATTTATGTAAAGGCGGATAAGATTTACGTAAGATCACATTGTGTCTCTTATATTACGGTATATCGCGCTCGATTAGTTTAACGACACTTCATGCCCACGTTCGTGAAATTAATTAATCCGTCGTTGCTCCGCGAGTCCTGCGACGGCAAGCCGAGCGCGACGCACGTCACTTATTGAAATCGCGCGCGAGGATACGCAGGCTTGAACTTCGGCGAGTCCCCGATTCGTCACAAGTCACGCGGCGAATCGCTGGTAAACGAGGCGTGCGCTCCGCGAATAACAGCAAAAGGCCGACGACCGTGACGATAGAAAGTATCGACATGATCGCGACAAACGCTGCCGCGGGATGTCCCGCGTAAATCGCGGCTCTGCGATATCATCCCGCCGCTCGTCCGCGCGCGGGTTTCGCGGATGTTCACGGGTCGCGAGGTACGCGTGCTCGCGGAAGTACGCGTCGCGAGCACTCGGATCTCTCTCGCGCGGATATCTCTCGATTATTCGCCGGGGGGGATCTTCCTCCGCGTGCGGCGCGCCGAAGGCGAGGAGATTCGGCGATTTCTCGCTTTTACTTTCGCAACCGGACGCGCGCGCGCGCGCGCGTGTGAGAACGAACGAGCGAGCGGGCGATTCTTCGCGCGCGAACACTTTTCCGTTCTCCTCTTTGCGCAACGCGCCAACCCATCCCGACGAATTCGCCATCGAAGTCATCCCTGTCGTCTTTCTATTCTTTCCCATGTAATGCGCGATACCTAGTGCGCTCGAGTACATATCAAATTAAGTAAAATCGGTTAAATTGATAACAATAAAAAAAAAGATAAAATTTGTCCACACGCGTAGGACTTTTCGTTTCCCCTCTTTTCTCGAAACCGCGTGAGCGCCTCCTGAAAAACTCGCCGTTCAAGTTACTCTCTCGACCTATCCGCCCTTTCCCGTGTCACACACGAAACGTAATGTGAACTTTTGCATAGCAAAATTCGCCTACACACAGGCGGAGTCCTTTCTGCAGACGGTTGAGCGATTTCGCGAGTTGCAGGTTCCGTCGCGGTTCGAGCGTTTTCTCGTTTTCATCGCAACGCCGCTTACGTGTGACCGGCGTTGGCCTTCAATTTTCCCTCCGCAACGATTATTCGGGCTACGGGGAGAGTCCTCGTTATACTTCGAAATACTTCGTTACGCTGTTAAAGTAGCGGCGCATTAGATGATCACGAGTCCGGCCATAAGCGAGAACTATCGCGGCGTTTCGTAAGGGGCATTCGAGTAGTCCGATCGGCTCGTTATCGTTATTAAGGCATTTCGTAACTTCATTAATAAAACAAAGCCGCGGCGTGGCGCCCGTGTTCCGTGCTTTCGCGGATGATTTTCACTTCGCTTTCTCGCCGTGAAAAAGATCGCCTGCTTGCTCGCCTACTCGCTCGCTCGCTCGTTCGCGCGCGCGCGCGCGCGTTTCACGATCCCATTTTCCACGGTTCAATCTCTCCCGCGTATTTGCGATCCACGTGGGAAATTATTCGCGATTGTTCCCACGCGAATCAACGGGAACCGCTTCGCGCGATTCGATCGTGAGCGAGCGAGCACTCGCCGGATTAGGCTGGGTTCACATCATCCGTCTCTGAACGACGACAGGCGAGCGTCAATCCTCCGTCAAGATATTTCTCTACGCTTAGGGCGACTTTCACCGAATTCCGATTAAGCTGCTCGACGATTTACAATCGCGGCCAGTCAAGTGTTACCCGCTCCATCTTGCTAACATATTGAACTTGTTGGCGTGTTACAGAACTGGAAATTGGTATTGGCGATTCTTATCGTTATTCGCGGATCTAGCTTAATCAGAGTTCGGTGAAAGTCACTCTTAATGCCAGACGGAACGGACACTGTGAGTGCTCACTGCAATTGGAGTAAATCTTCTTGATTTAATGGCATTATTATTACTATATTAAAATATACATATTAAAACTAGTACGTTATGTATTGTTTTCGACAATTAAAGCATTAGTTCAATGTTCAATTCAATAATTTCAATGATCCACTCCAATCACGCGTGCTGTCGGAAATTTCATTGATTCAACAGATATTTTTTCCCGTGCAAGGACCAAATTTGGCATATGAGAACCAGAAATTTTGCTTTCTTCAACAAAAAAAACGTGTTTGGTTGTCCATCATCAGTAAATGAGTCCAACTAGACTCATTTTTTCGTGAGCAAGGAAGAATATTTTGACGGAGGATCAAGGAGTGACGTTTGCCCACCGTCGTCCAAACGTACAATGTGAACGCAGCCTTAACGCGTTGGAGCGCGTCCCGCGCGCGGATTCACTTTTCATCGTCGTTATCGTTGATATCTATTCGCCGCGATACGGGTCACTGGATTCAGGCCGTTGGATTTAGCACGGCAATAGGTGTCCCGTATTTTCCCCATCGCCGCATTCACCGCTCCCCCCGCGCTTTTTCCAACGAACACCTGTCGAATTCCGTCTCGCGCGGGACCGTTTTTCGTTGCTCTCAGATATTAGCGGCGACGAAATGCGCAACGAAACGCTCGTAAAGCCTCGAGCTTTCCGCGAGCGGCACCAGCTTTCTCTTTCTCTCGTAGTTTACGCGCCGCGTCGCGAGTTTTCTCGTCGTGGCGGTGCGTCAATCTCGCGGCCAGGCGCATCGACGAAAAATTCCGCGAGGAAGAAAAGCGTTCCGACAGAACGATTTCAGGTGCCGACTCCGTGGATACGTTGGTGTGTATGTGCGTGCGTGCGTGCGTGCGTGCGTGCTCAGAAAGAGCTCGACGATAGTTTGAGAAAAAACATGGAGGAATGTATAACGAAGGCGTTCAGAAATTGCGCAGTTACTTGGAATCGTAAACGATGGAAGTATATTGAGGAGGGGAAGAGAGAAAGGGGGAGGGGAGAGAGAGAGAGAGAGCGAGAGAGAGAGAGAGAGAGAGAGAGATTTCGATGTCAAGTTCACTATGATTCGCGACGAAATTAATAACGATTCGGATGAAAAATTAACTTCACTTGTGCACTGAAAATAAGAGTTTAGTAACAATTACCAAGCATTTATTGAAATAGTTTCAACTAAATAATTTGGTTACAGTAAAATTAAATCATTTTGCATAGTACATGTAAGGAAATCATTTAATTGAAGCTATTTCACTAAATGTTTGGTAATTGTTATCGAATTCTTTTTTTAATATGGCAATTAAGTTTAAGATTAACGGAGCCTGCGATGAGATTCATAAAGAAAATAAGAGAGAGAGAGAGAGAGAGAGAGAGAGAGGCAGAGGGGGGCATTTCGCCGAATTTTGGCTCGGCCATGCCATGCTACGCGGAGGAGGGCTGAATCAAGAGAAATTCTTAATATCCTGCGCTCAAGTTGAATCTACTTGAGCCTAATGACGCCTGATGAAAGCAATTACGGCGTAACTTGGTTGGACCTGTCACCCGCGAACGCGTCACGATCATTTCGCAAGCGAGAGAGGTATCGGTTCCGCGCATTCGTGCGGCCGATCCGGTATCTTTCGGAGGCACCGCGTGTGACGAATATGCTGTTCACGGTATTCCGTAGAAATGTCAGTATTTTGTAATTCACCGGTTTTCGCGAGGGAAAAATGATCGCGACCGGTTGAAAGAGCCGAGAGCCAAATTACTTTCGGCTCGCTAATACGGTCATTAATCCTATCACGCGCGAGCTGTGAAATGTGTCCGCCCGAAAAATCCCCCGTCGCGCTAATTACGGCCGCGAAATCCCGAGGATAATGCGAGCGTTTAATCTGCTATTTCCTAACGCTGTGAATCACATCGCTTCTAACGGAATGTGGGGAAACTCGGAGTAACTGACGTGTTCTCGCGTTAGGTATTTATTAGAGATGGACACTGCAACGTCAGCTAATTGCGAATTCTATTTTTCAAAAGATCGATTTCTAAAAGAAAAATGTTTGGAATTTTAGAGTCCAAATTTTGTTTAGAAATTTTGCGAATAGGGATAGTATCTGACATATTCGGTGATTCGAAATATCGAAACTGTTAAAAGAACTAATCTTGACGAATGCAAAATGCTATGCAATTAGAGAGTATCAGTTTAAATAAGTATCTTTAACTCAATTATGAGATTTTTGTTTGAAAATAAATGCAAATTTCGCCGTGACATGCAACAGCATGACGCAATGCAAGAAAAAATTACATTCTTTAGAACAGTAAATATTATTTACTGTACTTACAAAATGAACACACGTACTTTTCAATTTTTGAAGTTTCAAATATTCAAACATTCGAATATTCGAATATCCAAATGCTCGAATTTTTACATCTCAAACTTACATTATTCGAATATAGCTCTATTCTTAAAGCTTTTTATTATGAAATTTAGGAATTTAGAAATAAATTTCTAAAAGAAAATTTAGAAATTTTTTTCTCCTTCTATTCTTCCATTTTCCTCTTTCCTTTGCATTTTTCGCTACTTTTCCCCTTTTCCCCCGTTTTCATTTCCTTTTCTTTTCCCATTTTCCACATTTCTTCTAGAAATCGATCATTGCTATTAATTTCCCTGTGATTCCTATAACGAGTCCTCCGCGATCTCGAGCAACGTCGACGCCGGGAACTCCGCAGCGTCCGCGCAGCCCCCCGCTCGTGGTCGGCGGAGCGAGAAGCTCCCCACGCTTGTCGCGGTGCTCACCTGATGCTCATAACCATCGCTTCGTCTCGCAGCTTCCGGCTTTCCGGCGGGATCGCCGTGGACCAGAACGCCGCGCGAGAAGAAGTCACACGCGAATGCAATCAGCGCGAGCACGAAGACCGCCTTCCGCATAGTTGCAGCGCGATCAGGAACCTCGATACCTCCTCGTCCTCACGGCACCGCACTCCTCGCCCGTGACACTTCACCTCCTCGTCCGCCGAGTCGAGCAGATGCACGTAGATCACCGCTGCGCACAGAATCACGAAGATCGCGTTCTTCCTGTTGCACAGACACAGGATTCCCTTAAGAACCATGCAGGCGAGCGAACGTCGATCCCCCGTTCCGTCGGATCGATACGTCGAGTTATATCGATCACCGGAACTTGGTTAGCGCTATCGAGGAACAAGGTACCCTGCGATTTCCTCTGTTCTTTGTACTGCATCTACAGGGCACTCGGATAATCCGTAATTGATAATCCTGATCGATGGACCGCGCTTTTAATTCATCACACCGAACTCGTATCGATCTCTCCTCGTTCCCCGTGTTTCACTCTTGCATCGGTAATACCACCGGATTCAAAGGAACGTACTTAGATCCTTCGGAGGCCAATCGTCCCGTTCGCACCCTCGACGCGATTCTTGCACCCTCTTCCGCCCCGTAACGCGTCGCTTCGTTGATTTCTTTCGGCGGAATATCCTCGTCGAGGAGTCTCGCTCCTCTCGGTTACCGTGCGAGACGTGCGTCTCGATCAGATGCGTCGTATTCCATTTCCGATCTCGCGAAAGAACGTCTCTCTCTCTCTCTCTCTCTCTCTTTCTCGTCGCTCGAATATATCGTCGGTATATTAACTTTCGCGGGCGCGCACGCGAGAGTCTCCGCGGGAACGGCGGCGAAACGAGCGCTCCTGCGCTCACGGCAAATCGGTCCTGCGCCGACTGACGCCGCTTTTCTCCGTGCGCGCTCCTAAGTAAGTCGGTGAAACTCGAGAGAGGAGTAGTCTTCCAGCCGACGCGAGTCTACTACTACTACTACTGCTGCTTTGCTGCTATTAATGCCGCCGCTACTCCACTCTCGACTCTCGAGATGTTCTCTCTCTTTCTGTCCGGAGCCAAGTCGTTCCGAAGACGCGAACAGTCGTGAACTGCCCACAGATCGCCAACTCGGTCTCGAACGAAGAGCGAAGAGTCTCCTCTTTTGCGGAAGCGATAAACGTCTATTATCGTAATTGCCGCCCGGATTGGGAAGCACGTCGGACGCGCCGACGTACCTCGTTCGGATCGACGCCCGCGGAGAAACGTAGAATGGAATGGATCTCGATTTGATTGGGTTTTGGGATCAATCCTGCGTGAGCAATGATTAATGTCACGGCTCCCGGCCCGTCGTTGCAGTCGTCTTGACGTTCTTTGACGACGTCACGCTGATAGAAAATTATAGTTTGTTTTGACGCCAAACATGCTTTGTAGTGGTAACAACATGCATATAAGATTATTTTTATTGATATCTTTTGACAATTTTTTCCCGCGCACGAAATGACATTTGCGATTGATTCAACACACTTGTAAAATACCCCGAACACTTTTCCTTTTCCCTGAAAAACCTATAAATAGCTGTAAAATTAACATAGACAGAACCATGAAAAAAAAAAATTAGGAAAAGAAAGTTGCGTATCATCTTAATTTCACGGTTATTTTATTGGTTAGTGGGATAAACGGAAGAATATTCGGAATATTTTACAAAGGTGCTGAATCGATCACAAATGTCATTTTGTGGGTATATCTTCTTATTTGAACATATATCGCAACAATTCTGAGCATGGACTTTCTTTCTTCTTAGCAGATTTTTACTTGGATTAAGTAAATTTTGCTTGAATCAAGTATTTTATTTGGATAATTTACTTAGAAAATTTTTATTTAGATCAAGTAAATATCACTTGATCCAAGTAGAAATTTGCTAAGGAATATTGCAGTAATTACATTATTTACTCGAGTCTAGCACCTTTTTCCCTATACAGAAGTCTTAATATAAAATAAAGGAAGACGAGGCAATCGTCAGAAAATAAAAGAAAAGAAGAAAATATGAATGAGGGAGAAGAATATATATTGTTATATCACTAATCGTTGATGATATGCAATGATGTATCGTTAAATAATGATGATGATATAATAGAGACGCAAAGTGACGTGAGGATAACATTGAAGAAGAAACGTACGGAGAAACGCTGAGAAGATCGCGAGAAGATCGACCGCGGCACTTCCCCGCTCGAAGCTCGCGTGCGAATCCGTTCTTTCTCATCTCGGAAACTCGTATCGATTATAGCGTATTACGCGGATTATAACACAGTTACTCGTAACATCGCGGCGAATTCGCACGTCACGCCGGCCGAATGAGATCAGCGTGAGACGCGGCGCGGCCGAGTGTCGCGAATTCGCCGCTAATGAACGGCGGGAAAACGAAGACGACGACGACGACGACATAACGACGACGATGATGAGGGACGGTAATGACGACGCGATTCTTCTGCGATTCTCCGGGGTGCAGATAGGCATCGAGAGGAGCTGGCTGCGTCGTTCATTAAGCCCGTCTCAGACGGTTCCTCTGCGCGGAAAAGAAAATCTCAGTTCGTGCAACTGACTAGACGAAAACTCGGCGGAAACTCGAGGGATGATATCTCTGTTATCGTGATGGAAAACGTTCGTCTGAACATTCGGCTGCGTTAAAACTCGATCGGGGTAACTGAGATTATTTGACTGGACGGAAATCTCCTACAGGAATTTGTACACTGAAATACATTTTATTTAGTATTTGTAACTCTAATTATCATAGTAAAAGAATTACAGTCAGGAGAACCATTTTTCTAGTAAGTGTTATTATAATGTGTATATATAAATGATAACCTTACATGCATAGATATTGTTTTTGTAATAAAACCATGAGAAAGATACAATTGGAGTTTAAAGTAACTTTAATTAATTTCTCTAAGTTTTTATTTCTATAATCGAGTTTTCGGCTGATTCCCAGACAATAACAAACCAGCCATACGAGCCAAGTTTTTTCTCCGTGTGCGATTCGGGACTGAACTCTGTATGTACTTCTCTCGGAAGTCGGTTTTCCGTTCGAAAAGATGCACTGATAGAAAATTATAGTTATTTTTATAGCGCTAAACGTATTTTATAGTAGTAGCAACATGAATGTAAAGTTATTATCACTGACTCTATAGTAACATTTACTAGAGAAATGGTTCTCCTGACTATTTTTGTGATTAAAATAAAAAAAGAGTATGTCAGTGCCGAAAATAATTGTAATTTTTTATCAGCGTAGAATTTCCATTAACGATGATCTCCGATTCTCCGGAATCTCGCTTGTGTCATGCCTCCTCGTGAAGGGGGCGTTTCTTCTCGTGAACGTTAATTACACGGAAAAAAGTTTCAATTCCTGCAACTGAATAGGGGTCAGATGAAAACTCGGTGACAAGAAATTATATCTCTGTTACCACTACTTAGAACATTCACTCAGTTGAGGCAACTAAGAGTAATTGACTGAATAGAAACCTTCTACAGGAATCTTTCTGTTCCTATAACTAACTATTAGGTCTGGTCTCCACAACGGCAACGGAAAATTCACTTACACTAAAGGAATCGTTTCTTCCGTGCACGAAGAAATCTCAGCTCGAGCATTGAGAAAAAAATACTTGAACATTTATTTGCAGAATATAAAGTTTATTTCACAGAGACAAATCTTATTTCTATGAAATAAACTTTATATTCCACAAATAAATTTTTAAATACTTCCTTTTCTCAGCGTATAATTGAATAGCAGAGATCAGACGAAAACTCGGTGACTAGAATTGATATCTTTGTTCATTGCAACTGAGAACATTCATGTGAACATTCGGCCGCATTGAAGCTCGATCGAGACAACCGAGAGCAATCGATCGAGTTGAAACCTCCTACAGGAATCTTTTTGTCTCCAGGCAACGGAAAATTCAGTCACACTAACGTAGTTGTCTTCTCCGTGCGACGCGTGTCGAACTTCGTCTTGCCGATTCTCTCGCGAATTGTACAATGGGCTTTACCATGTTACACACTGTGTGTGCACAGGGATGGGTGCAGAGTCGAGCATACACGTGGGAAGGTCGCGCGAATGAATCGGAGATCGTGAGATCTCCTCTCTATGCGCACTTTCTACGCGATAAGAAGAGCGCACCGTGCCGTGCCGCATCGTGGCGAAGGGTCCTCACTAACCGACCTCGGACACGTTGCCTGAGCTGCTCGTTTCATGCTGAAGATAATAACGATCGCCTTAGTTACCGTGTGCCTCTAATGAAACCCCCGTGTTCTCTTAACCCACAAGGATGATATTAGCGCGCGAGCGGCCGAACGATACTTTCCAATCCGCGCTCTTCGCCGAGGAAATGTAATGATGTGCCGGATGACGAAACTCTCTTTTATCGGGGATTTCTTATTACATTTCAATCGGCGGATCCGTTCCCGCGTTTTCTGCGCGTTGCGCGATGTCGAAAGTCGAGACTCCGATTGCTGCCTCTCCTTCTCTCTCCTTCCCCTTCTCTCTCTCTTTCTCTCTCTTTCTCTCTCTATTTCGTGAGGTGTCGTTACGATATCATCTTCATGTCATAATCGTTATTCCCCATCTTGCGTTTACTCGAACCGGCGGCTGCGAAAGATGCTATAATAATATGTTTACGATCAATTCTCGTGCAAAATTTAATTTTGCATATTGAGAGAGAAAAAAAATGGTTAATCTCATACAAAAAATTATAATTATTTTCGGCGACAATTACGTGGAATAAAAAACTCGGTTCCTACAACTGAATAGAGAGCGGATGAAAACTCGGTGACAAGAAATAATATCTGTCACCGTGACTGGGAAGATTCGTGTGAACATTCAGCCGCATTAAAACTCGGCCGAAACAACTGGGAGACAATAGACTGAATGGAAATCTACTACAGAAATCTTTTTGCTCCTACATCGAAAGAAGATATTAAAAAATTTATTTGTAGGATATAAGCTGGAGGGAGGTTTATTTTTGTGTGAAATAACTGAAACTTTCACAGAAATAAATCTTACTTCACGCAAAAATAAACTTTATTTCGCGCAAACATAAACTTTGGATTCCACAAATAAATTTTTAAGTACTTTTTTCTCCCTGTACGACCGGCCTTTCGTCTGTGGTCCCCGAGCGGTAGGAAAATTCAGTTGCACCAATGAGGTTGTTTTTCTACGTATGTTTTGTTCTAATAAAGTTGTTCTAATCAAGTATTCTAATAGAATATGCAATTCTATTAGAATTTATTATTAATAATAGCATTCAAAATATTTATCACTGACACTGTTGTAACACTGGCTGCAAAAGTAGTTCTCCTGATCATCATTTTCTTACTGTGCCGGATTATAATCGCAAATACCAAACACTTTTCTCGAAGAATGTACGAAGTTAGATAAGTGAATATATTTTTTTCAGATTTCATTGCGTTGCGACTGGTCTCGGCTCACTTCGGCGGCGAATGAACCCTTCTAATTGACGACCTACGATCGCGTTCGTTATCGGTGCATGAATGACACCCTGTGGATATATCGTACGTGCGCGCCATGATTAATGATAATCACGCGCAATGCCGCGCCGGCGATTCGAAATTTCTAACGCGCGAGCAACCGTGTATAATACTCCTATTCCGGTTAACTATATTACACGCCATAATAGCGACTTTGTTGAATTATGAGAAATACGTGTACTTATGTGCCCGTTAAGGATTCCTCGTTACGAGAACCTCACAGCGCACGCAACCTTTACATCAGTCGAGATCATTGTAATTGCGTTCCGGCCGCGACATCGTTCCCCGCGCGCCCCTCGAAATGTCTACATACCTGACGAATTTCCATAAATTATACACGTGAAGAAAAAAACGGCACTCTCGCGCCGTCACGCGAGAAAGAGAGAAAGAGAAAGACCGAGGGGAAAAGCGCGCGAGAGGCAGAAACCACCACGTTCGTGTTCTTGAATTTTCTCTCGGCGCAAAAAGCGGTAAGGAGAGGCGTGGGGAGGGGGAAAACGATACATGCTAAAAATAGAGCGCGCGCCACGCGAGAATCACGTTGTTACCGGTGCCTGATCGCCGTTAATCGTCATACGGTTACGGCTATTACATTGCTGAGCGCGGCGATCGGCTACCGCCGCGAAAAGACACGCGTGATCGCTCTCACAGCATGCGACGACACATACATGTGCACCTACACACACACATACACACGCACATGCAGATGCGAGGCCACGACAAGCGCGGCGTAGCAGATCGCGCGTAGTCGAGGAAAACGGCCGGGCGAAAACACCGAGAGAAGGCCGCTCTCGACGATATCCCTCGCTTCTGGTATCTCGCTCGCCGAGTCGGGGAACTCGTCAAATCAGCAGCTTTGCAAATGAGAGACGACGCCGCCGCCGTCGTCTCTCGTCCTCGTACTTTCACACGAGCCCGGACTTTCATGGGATCGCAATAAATTCGCGAGAGGACTCCTCGCGCGATCGGAAATAATCCTCACCGAACATATCGACCGACTCAGGAATGCCGGGGGATGTGAGCGGAGTTCGTAACGATAGCGTGTACTACCGTGGCGTTTTACATTAATAATAATACCATCGATTGCGCGACGCTTCTAAAAGCGGAGTCCGCTCGGAGGTCTAGAACCGCCTACCGTTTCCGTGTAATTACTGTATTCGCGTTTATTTCAGTTGCTGTTCTGCACGGTAAAACATTTTGTGTTGAAAACGAAATTTTTGCGTCACGTTAACATGGAGAATATGTTGAAAAGTACAGAAATAAATTAACACGTTCGCTACGAGAGTCTGAGAAAAAAATCTTGCACCGCAACTTAGAGTGATTTTGCTGGAATGTGTTCCCAAACGACATGGGTCTTTTTAGGATATATTTCTAACATAAAAATGTAATTATCTCTAGACCAAGGACATTCTATATCTATTTTATTGCTTTTTAAGCTCAACAATACTGTTCATTTTCAAATTTATTGTAATACGTTATCACGAACTGATAAAGAACACGCACCGCACATATGGTGGCGGTGGGCTCAAATACAGGAATCGGGACGCCGCATATATTCGCCGGTGGTAGCGAACGTGTTAATATACTTATTAGCATATTACTTTTTAACGTATTCGCCTTGTTAAGATGACATAAAAATTTCAATGGACCGTTTTTAATACAAAGTTTTTTATTCTGTGTAAAGAAAATAGGAATAACGCGAACAGCACGGTTTTTTTTATGAAATTGCAATTTTGCATGAACAGTGAAAATATTTGTGTTCAATTTAACACATTTCACATGTCCCGAATGGTCCATAATATATAGTCAGTCTCAAAAAGGTCGCAACACTTTTCTTTTTTATAAGTTTCGGACTACATCCCGTATCCAATAGGAGAATTTGTTTTTTTTTTTTTTTTTAGCAATTAGTCATTCTTAGGAGATACGTTGCAAAATTTATCGGAAATAAAGTGTCGCAACCTTTTCCTGACTGACCACACGCACGTAACATGAACTGTAGATTTTGTTCAGTACTGGCAGTGAATATACGAACGCAGCCTTTCTTGCTACTTCGTTGTCTGAATTGAGAAACGTCTCAAGACCGAAATCTCGCGGTTTCATCGAACCGTTACTCGAATCGTAAACGAAGCCAAAATAGAAAAAAACGTACATTTTCGTAAGCCGTTATAACTTCATATTTTAAACTCCCAACTTTAATCTCGCCTTTGAAGAAACTCATTATCGCACACAGAGCTGTCTACCTGGAGAGTCTCGCGTAACGAAATTGTCGCAATACTAATCTCGCCGTTCCAAATTGCAACTTGTCTAATCTAGATTTAACAGTGGCGGACCGCGCGCGCAGAGAAACGCATGCCGTATTCGTTCTGCCGATAGCGACGAGCGATCAGGCGTTATTAGCTCGGCACAGTTTGCTGGAATTAATTAGTCCTAAGAGGAAGAACCGTCGATCACGCAACAACCGGGCCACACGGCCCGGTCGATAGAGCGTACATAGCGCGTGGATCTCGCTATGCGGGCGATGAAATCTCGGCGAACGAGAGTAACACGCGATCCTCTCACGTGGATGAGCGTGCGGCGGCGGTGAGAAGCGCGCGTTTCTCCGGATAGAGAGAGAGAGAAAGTCCGCTTCTCCGACAACAACGACAACGACGACGACGACGACGATGTCGTCGCGGCTGCAACGGCAATGAATCCCCTCGCGCGTTCATTTCCGGAATTCTGGGTCAAGTTCTTGTGTCCGAAAAGCAACCGCTCGCCCGCGGCGAGCTAACAGTGTTCTTCCTGAATCTCCCCGAAGGCGAAAGTCGACTTCACGCTCCGCAGATTGATGCGAATGCACACGCGTTTGTCGTAACGGCCTTTTGATAGCCGTCGGATTTCACCACCGAGCCGGGATTCGGTCTCAGCTGTTTTATATCGAATCCTCTCTCTCTCTCGGATCGAGCCGATTCCAAGTTTTGTTGACGTGGCGTTAGAGCCGAAATTTGGGTCTGAACTGAATCGACCACCGATCGTACCAATCGCGTTAGCGTTAATGTAACATTCATTAATAATGTAATATCGTCACACGCAACTTTGGTCCATTCTTTTTAGATGAACCGGCTGCGCTAGTTCAAGAAATTTACGTACACATTGAAGCGTGCGAGATTCTCACGCTTTAGCACGCATAAATTTCTTCAACTAGTGCGGCCAGTTCTGCTAAAATGAACAGACTATTTGTACGCGAAATACATTTTCTTAAGTATAAAATTAACTCTCGCATGGGAAAGTAGAAGTCATTTATGACTCCAGCAAGATTTTATATCATTATGATACTAAATAAGAAATATCTAAAAGAGGCCATAAAGAACAAAGCACGGCATAGAATAGCTATAAATGTAAATGAATCTAAAAACCAACTAGAATAATAAACACGTAGTGGAATATTTATTGTCTATTATAATATTTTTGAAGAATATATTCTTGCTTATTGTTCCATATGATTTTTGTGCCCTTTCTTCGTTTTAATCAAACAGAATGCATATTCATGTATTTGAGTCACTCATTTCCCGCTCACATCCTGCTACTCCATTTTTTCTTGCAAGAGTTAACAATTATCCTTTATATCCTTTAAAGTTATCGAAGTTGTCTATTTAAGTCATTTAAAAAGTCTTAAGGAAATAATTTAATACAGCTTGTGGAAGTGCAAGTTTTTCCATTCCAACTTTGTTTTTAATTCGAGAGAGACGGTGAGATCGTGAAATTTCGTTTCTGAGCACGTATGAATATTAATAATAATAATAATAATGATAATTTTCACATCGATACTGAGGAACATAAAAATGCTGACGAGTCGTTAAAAGTGATTTATCTGCTGACGAGGGGAGAGAGAACAAAGAACAATACGCCAGCTGTGTAACCCGTGGCTAATAACATTCAATGGATTTTTCAGTTGGGCAGTTTCCACGGTGATGACGAGGCAGAATCTGGTGCCGAGTCCGGACGGCTCGCGCATGATCAACGCTTTAATCCCAATGTGGGATATGTGCAACCATGAGAACGGCAGGGTGAGTCTCTTTCATCTCGCACGTGGATAATAAGCCAGTGGACTATTAATGCGCTCTTGTCCCTGATTCGCAGATCACGACGGACTTCAATGCGACGTCGGATCGCTGCGAGTGCTATGCACTGAGGAATTTTCAGAAGGGGGAGCAAATATTCATTAGTTACGGTCCGAGGACGAATTCCGACTTCTTCGTGCACTCGGGCTTCGTCTACATGGACAACGAACAAGTGCGTGCTCGATATTTTTTGCAATTTTTCAATAATTGTTTATATATTATTTTTATGTATATTACTTTTTATTATTTATAATGTTTTTATATCTTTTTTTATTAATGCTTATATCGGATGCTGAAAATTCCTTTCCGATTTTCAAACTAAAGCAACACTGATAAAAAAACTTACATAAGAAAAACGAAATTTAAAAAGAGGATATTCTCAGTGTTCGCGTCCAAAATTTGATCCCTTAAGTTCCCCTATGCCTTCGCCGCAGCCATCTTGTTTTATGATGTCAGAAGCAAGGAAATCCAGAGTTCTCTCTTTCTCTCTCT